ACCTCTCCAACTCTGCTTTCTTCCCTCTTCTGTTTTCTTTTCCTTTTTAAATATATCACCATATAAATATTTTATAAATATTTTAAATTTATTTGTGCTTTATTGTCCTTCCTTTCCTCTAGGCTATAAATTGCATGTTAGAGGTGTTTTTGTCTTTGTTCTGTTTGGTACATTGGTATCCCCAGGATCTAAAACAGTGATGGAAACCTAAGAAAAAAAGTCCTCATTGGATGTTTGGTTTCAGCATTTGGCTCTTATAAGGCCAGCTGATGCAGAATTGATATGTACGATGATACTGATTATTAAAACCCTGAAATATTTTCTTACTGATGAGTCAATAGTCTCTACTTCAGGACCTCCCAATATCCTCCACTGCCTTTCCTTTGGACTTCTTCACAATGCAGAAACTGCAGGATCAGGCCCAGATCTCTGGCAGTGGCCGGTGTCCTTATACATAGCCAATGCCAATGGTGTGTCGCTTCTTTCAAGTATTTCATGTGTCATATTTGCTCTCAGAAAAAAACTACAAAAGGCTGGCTGATTGCTTTTTGTCTCGGAACAATTAAAATAAATTCAGAGGAATAATTATCAAAAGTTTTTTTTTCTGAAAAAACAGACTGAAGAACTTGTTCTGGACAACTTATTCTCAGAATCATTTACAAAAATAACTGACAGTGTCCTCTAGATTATTTGTTATTGAAAGTTTGATGATAAAATATTGACAAGGCCTGTAGTGGTGATTTGTCATGGTATCTCATAAATGAATCTGGGTCTCTTGAATGAGATTTGATGATTATACTCACTCATGTAATCACCATCCCAATCAACATAGAAAATATTTCTTCTTCTAAGAAAGTTTCTTTCTACCCCCTTCCAATCAAATCCCCACAATCTCAACTACACATGTGATTTTTCCAGCATGATAAGTGCATTATCCTGTCATTCGACTTGTGTAAGTGTAATATGCAGTTAGGTGCTCTTCTGTGTTTGGTTTCTTTTGCTTAGCATAACTTTTTGGAAAGGAGAGGCAGGGCTTAATTAAGTTTTTATTTGCAACATGCCAAAACTTATAGCACATGATATTTTTGAGATATTTTCATGTTACATCAACAATTCCTTTCTTTTTATTGCTGAGCAGTTTTCAATGACTTTTCTTAATGCATTATCCTGTTGATAGACATTTGGATTATTTTCTGTTTTTAGAACTATGAATATAGCATTTATGAATATTCTTTTATAAATGTCTTATAGACACATGCTTTTAATTCTATTGGATATATCCTAGAAGTGGAATTGTTAAGTGACAGAATAGATGTTCTATAACTTTTTATTTTGTTTACCAGTTTACGAAGATATAAATGTACATGAAATATAATGAATACATTTTAAGTGTACAATTCAATACAGTTTGACAAATATATGCGCTATGAAAACATCTTTTCAATTAAAATGTCATCCCATAAATTTATCTTTTCTTTCTCTTCAGTTAATTGACCCACCTAATCAACTGTCCCAAGTGATCACTCAGCATAATGTTTCTGAAATTCATCCATGTTTCATGAACCAGTGGTTCCTTTTTTTATTGATGATTAGCATTTCATAGTATGAATATAAATTAGTTTATTCATTTATGTGGTAATGGTCATCAAGCTTCTACAAACATTTTTGTATAAGTGGTTTTGTGAGCAGAAGGTTTTATGTTTTTTGGGTTAATCCTTAGGAGAAGAATTCCTGAGTTACATAGTAAGTATTTATCGCAAACTTCCATCTATTTTCCTAAGTTGTTTGTCATTTTCCACTCCCACCTGTAATATAGGGAGTTCTAGTTGTTTCACATCCTCATCAACACCTGGTCTTGTCAGTCTTTATAATTTTAGTCATAAAGTAGAATCACACTGTGATTTTAATTATTTGCATTTCTTTAGTGACTAATGTATTTGAGCATCTTTTTCATGTATTTCTTGGATATTGATATATTTTCATTTGTGAAATCTCAGTTTATTTCATTATTTAACGAAGCTATTTTGTCTTTGTGATATTATGTATAAAAGTTATTTATAAATTATATATACATATCTTTCATCAGATGTATAAATTTTAAGTATTTTGTCTGACTCTGTGACTTGGCCTATTCAAATTTCAATTATGTTTTTTGAGGACCAGAAGTTCTTAATTTTGATGAAGTCCAAGTTATTTATTTTCCTGTCATGATTAATGACTTTATATCCAGTCTAAGAAATATTTGTCCTATTTCAAGTTGTAAAGATTTTCTACTATGTAATTTACTATATATATATAATCCATTTTGATTTTATTTTTGTGTATATATAATGAGATAAAGATATTTTTCCATATATATAGCCAGTTTTTCCATCATCATTTGTTGAAAGCACTTTGTTTTCCCCATAGACTTATGTTGGTACTATTATTAAACAAATCAATTTATTGCCTACTTTGAGTTTATTTCTATACTTTCTTCTGATCCTTTGATTTATATGTTGATCTTTATGTCAATACAACCCTAGTTTCATTATCATAACTTTATATTAAGTCTTAAAGTCATGTTGTGTAAGTTCTCCAATTTTATTCTTATTTTTAAGCTATCCTAAGTATGTTGGTTTTCCATGTACCTTTTATAATTCTCACAAAGAAATTATAGTTGATGATTCTAATACTGGAAAAATAAAGACTCAACTATTCAAGACTAATTAAGATGTGCAGGAACTAAATGAAACATGTCAAATGCAGACCACAGCAATAGATGTTATGGAATTTGCATGGGAGAGATTACCTGGGTCACAAAAAATTAGTCTCAAAGGGATCTTAGCTATAATTCAGTCATTTCACATATGCAAACACTTAAGACCAATGGCTGGTTTTCTTGCGGCCAGCACTTTTGTTTTTCCCTCCTGTCTGTCCTCAGTCCATAGCACTCATTCTGATCTGCTTGATGGTCACTTTCTTCTTGGCCCCTAACTTTTCCATGGGGTCTTTTGATGGTGATTTAGGCCTCATTTTACTATAAAGTAGAACAGAAGAGACAGGGTTTTAAGGGAGAATGTAAAAGCATGGTAGAAGATACATGGCATCTCTTTAGGTCCATATATAAAACCTTTTTTTTTCCAGGCCAATAACTCTACCACTTAATTAGTTGTAATGGCTCATTCAACAAACATTTTTGAGCAACTACCTTGTGTAGCCTCTGTTTCAGGCATATGAGTTATATCACTGGATAAACTGACTAAAATATCTTTTCTTTTGGAGCTCACACTTACAGAAAACAGAATATAAACAATAAACAACTGGCATAAGTAGAATGTTAGAAGGTTATGAGTGCTCTAGAAAAAAAACAGAGCAAGGCAAGGAGAGATAGAATGTGGAAGGGGACATTACAATATAAAATGGATTGATTAGACACTTAAACAAATACCTGTACACCAATGTCTATAGCAGAGCTATTCACAATAGTAAAAGATAAAAGCAACCCAAATGTCCATTAATAGATGAATAAGTAAACAAATTGGTATATACATATACCATAATGTCATTCAACCATTGAAAGTAGTAAAGTACTGATACATGTTTCAACATGGGAAAACCTTGAAAACACTATGTTAATAAATGAGGCAAATCAGATGCAAAAGGCACTTATTGTGAGTCCATATATGAAAATATGAAATCCCATACATGGAATTTTCAAAAAAGGTAAATCCATAGAGACACAAAGCAGATTTTGGTTGTTAGGAGACAGGGGAATGAAGAAATGGGGAAGTGACTACTAAGTGGTATGGAGTTTTATTTGGGTTGATGAAAATGTTTTGGAACTAGATAGAGGTGGTAGTTTCAAAACAATGTGAATGTACTAAATGGTACTGAATTGTCAGTTTAAAATGGTTATTTTTACGTTACACAAATTTTTCACCTCAATAAAAAAATATCAGAAGGAAAAACAGTAAAAACAATTGTGTAATCGAAGCAGTGACTTTGAAGAGGTGACAGGGGTCACCCTGTGGCTACCTGGAACGAGCCATACAAACAGAAGGAAGAACAAGTGCAGAGGAGGACTGGGTCTGGTGCATCTAAGGATTGGCAAGGAGAACCTAGGATTGTGGTGGAGGAGTCAGAGAGGTGATGGCTGGCCTCAGATTTCAAGGGTGTTCATAGATGCTGTAGGGTGTTTGCTTTTCTTTTAGGTGAGGTGGAAGGACATTGGGGGCCTATATGATTTGACCTGGATTTTAGCAGCATATCTGGAGGTATGAATACAGAGGACCCTCTGTATTCAGAAGAGTCTGAAGAGAAGCAGCAGTGGAAACAGTGATAAACTTATTAAAATCCAGGAGAGAGATGATGGTGACTCAGGCAAAAAAGGTGGCAATGGAGGTGGAGAGAAGTAGATGTAGGTAGTATGTATTTTAAAGGTAAAACCCATAGAATTTTTCATGTCAGATATGTGAGGAAAAGAAGAGTCAGCTGTGTATGAAGAGTTTTGCCTTGAGCAGCTGGAAGGATGGCATTGTCACCAGATAAGAAAGACTGTGGAAGAAGTTGCTTTCTTGGGGGTGGGGAGGGAGGGAGAGAGATTTGCAGGAGAGCAGAAGTTTGGTTCTGGAGACATTATGTCTTTGTTAATTCCAGTTAGTTTTGGATATGTACCAGTTTCTTCTAGTTTTTTGAAAGGAAGAATTGGATGAGGCTCAAAGGTGGATGGAGGGAAGGAGCTGAGAGATGAGTACTCCTAGAGTTTGGAGTGTGGCAAAGAAGAATAAAAAAACATGTCCTTTGCTCAGGGTGACATGGAACAGTACTGGGCCCACAGCCTTTTCCTGAGGCCCAGACCACGCTGTCTGATACCTCACACAAGATCTGAAATCCTGCTGTTATAAATATTATGCACAATAAGCACCTGTTGAATGATTAATTCTCCTGGGTGTTATTAAGCAAGTTAAATTCATGGTTATAAACATCTTGCTTGTGATTCTGCATGTTTTATTTTTCAGTAAAGACACTGACAGCCTTTTCCAATGATAAATCTTAAAGAGCACCATCAACCTCGTTGGAGAGACTTTCACTGTCATATGTCACAGAGCCGACTTGAATAATCTCAACAATCAGTTGCCAACACTTGCTCTAGACTGATAAATTGAGAATGAGACTCTGGGTTTTGGCAATTCTAACAGTTCTTATACATTTCACAGTTGCTACATTTAGTAAGTATTGCTTCTCAAGTATAATTTACAATTTTTTTAGTTAAGTAACTTCAAGAACATGTGCTTTGTTTTAAACAGCTTGTTTATAGTTGTTCCAGTTAAACTGTAACCTGGAAAAATCACTTATGCTGTACAGCCATTCTCCATCACAAATCTAAGAAAATAAATTCCTCATAAATATACCCTAATTTTAGTTTTATATATTCAAATATGTCAACATTTAACAGGGTGACTGCCCATAGGAGGCATCATAAGAAGTTGATTGAAAACATACTTTGTATAGTTAGACATGGCTCCTTTTCCACTGGAGCAGTTTGGGGGATCTGGCTCCAAATTAGTTCACTAATTTGTGGTACCCATTAGAACATTTCATACAAGATCTTAATCATTTACTTATTCTTTTCAGTTGAAATATCACAAAGTATGGCCCATTTCTCAATTTAATCCTAGAGAGGAATATCCTAGAACATAGGAACTATAATCTTTATATGATAATTTCAGGGTCATATTCATATGTTTTTTTATTTGCAGACAAGTCATCCTGGGGCCTGGAAAATGAGGCTTTAATTGTGATGTGTCCTAGACAAGGAAAATCTCAAAACCCTGTAGTATGGTTTTACTCAAAAACCAACAAAAGTGTTACTACTCAAAAAGAGAGTCGTGTATTTGCCTCAGGGGAACGTCTTAAGCTTTTCCCAGCCAAAGTTGAGGATTCTGGAATTTATACTTGCATTATCCGAAGGTAGTATCGGCCACCATAATCTTTAGATTTTCTCTCTTTTCTGTAAGAATTGATCATCTGAGCTGCCCTCACTTTTCTTCCCTTTCCTAGACTTCTCTGGTACCACTGAATTTATGAAGTGATTTGACTAAAAGAGTACTTCTAGGAACACCATCAGGTTGGGGTGTAGGTGATTATGAACTAATTATTTGAATGGATAACTGCAGGGATTCATCTGTAGCCCAGTTAGAAAATACCTGGTTTTCCTAGTGATCAAGAAAACTGAGACCAGTCACCCAGTTTGACTGGAAGTGAGATTTAAGCAGCACAAAGAACAGTAACCTATGCCCTGAGCATCAAGGAGGCCTATGGTTGGTGCAAAAGAATAATTACCAGTGCCTTACATCTGAGAGGTCAGCTAAAGAAGGTTATGTGAGATTGCATGCTTATAAATTACTCTACATACAAACTGTTAAATGTTTTGATTTTGTACCTGTTTTTGGTACATAGAAAATGTCAGATGAACTACATAAAAAGGCAGGATGTGTATAATTAGGTGGCTAGGTTCTGAGGTCAGACAAGTTTCAGTTTGAAATTCATGCTGTCACTAGTTAGCTGTGTGTTGCCTGAAAGTTACTCCTGTGTCCCTCAATTTCCTCATCTGTAAACTTCATATATAAATATAACTCAGTTAAAATCATTGTGGGAATAAATGAGGTATTGTTAATATCATGAATGGTACATAGTAAATTCTCTATAAATACTAATGATCTTTATTATATTGGGTTATTGGCATTACAGTAGATATAATATATGAAAAAATGGTGAGGGAGTCTTTTTTAGGGGCTGTTGTAAGGGTTATGTTTTATCTCAAGTTTAATCAAAGTATTTAAAATCCTAGATTTTAATGATTATTTTTAAATGAGACAAAGCCACTATCATTTTACAGAGAAAAACAATAATTAGTAAAAGATTTGGATAAAGTCATTGCATAATGCTAAATAACTTTCAAAAAATTGTTTGACTTTTTAATAGTCCCACCTTCATTAAGACTGGATATGTGAATGTCACTATATATAAAAAACAACCAGATTGCAATATTCCAGATGACATGATATATTCAACAACCTCTGGATCAGAAAAAAATTCCAAAATATTTTGTCCTACCATTGACCTCTACAATTGGACAGCACCTGTTGAGTGGTTTAAGGTAGAAGAAATTTGGAGAAAATAAATGAAAATTACACAAAATAGATGGAAGTAAAGAATTACTGCAAATGGCATGGCATTTTTTTTTAATTTCAGAATTGTAAAGCTCTTCAAGGATCAAGGTACTATACACATAAGACATATTTGCTTATTGACAATGCAACTAGCAAGGACACAGGTGATTATACATGCAGATTTATGCACAATGAAAATGGAGTCAGCTACAATGTGACAGCAACCAGATCATTCACAGTTCATGGTAAGCTACTGAATTTAACAAAATAGAATATTTGCTAAAAGATAAGGTGGGAGAAATAGAGCCCTTCTTGTTGATTTTCCTGTACTTCATCCTCCTGCCAATAGTTCCTCCTGCTTCATTTTTTTTTTTTTTGCACATTATCTACTATGCCACAATCAAAATTTAAGAAATTTCAGAGGGAGATTGTGCAGCTAATTCTAAAGCATGTATTCTCTCCTTTTTGACCTAATTTTTCAAAGATATTGTGATCTGAATACTAATGTAACTTTTTTAACTGGCCGACAACTCTTTGAAGAGCAAGATTAACTTTTCTTCTCCCAATTTCTTGGCAAAGATTCTGTAAATAGAAAAAAGTCCATTTGATCTCCACTATAACTCACTGGATTAGAAGTTGAGTGAGGAACTTTATAAAGATACATAGGTATTACTGAGTGGTTTTCAATCCTGATTTGCAATACTTTTAACATCCTTAAAGACCTCAAGTAGGTCTCTTAATTCTATTTTTTTTTTTAATTTACTTTAAGTTCTATAAAAGCCCATTCATGGGAAAGACTTCACAATCAAGAGTATCACATCTACAAAGAGTCAGGGTCTTCTTAGACTAGTTTGAACAATGGATATAGAGGAAGCAGTGCCTCTGTGTATGATAGATTTCTGAGGGCAAAGCAACAGTGGAGAAAAGCTTTGCTTGGAGTTTTTCAAAGCTCCACTGCTGTAAAATGAACATCAGCAGACCACATTTCTATTAATGTCTCTCACTGATGCACAGCAAAATTCACAAGGGTTCTTAATCATAGTATCCTAACATCAATGGGAACCAAGGGCTGTGGTGATGCACCAGTGGTCCAGAGAGTCCCTTTTCATAGTCTTTAGGCATCAGGACCATAGGAAATTAACATTTCTGAATAGTGTGGGCCAGTGTGGTAGAAAGCTGTGAGCAGAAGTGTGAAGATATGTGTTTTTTATTCTCATGTGTCTTTTGAACTCTTCTTCCTGTAGCATTATCCCCTTTCTGTAGCATTGTAGTTTTCTAACAATTGTGAGGTCATACAATTAATTTAATGTGTTGGACTAGGTTTTGTTTAATGAAATAAAAGAGATTAGAAAATATCAAAGAGCATCCTAGGTATAGTAAGACAAAATACCACTTTAAAGTTTTTGTTTCATTTGTGTGTGTCTGCATCTGTGTGTGTGTACATATTTATTGTTGTCATTGTCAGAAAATTTGAGAAACATTGTTATGAAATAGGATAGAAATATGAAAATATAGGTTTTACATTGATGATCATCAAAATTCTGATTTGATATTTATATTCTCTATTTGTTTTTGATTTAAGAGGAGAAAAGCTTTTCTTTGTTTCCAGTAATTATAGCACCACCACAAAATGAAACAAAGGATGTGGAAATCGGTAAGAAAGCTTTAAAATGCTGTTAATGTTGCCTGGAAAATACTTCCCTCTGACCCCTGGTCTGAATTCCCCAAGTAGAGATCAAGCAATGAGGATAGAGGATCTTGAGGGTTCAATGAGATGTCAAGGGTAGAAACACTTGCCTTGAGCACTTGCACATTTCAGGAATATGTGGTCACAGCAATATACAGCATTTACACTTGTATTGCACTTTGTAACTCATGTGCCATTGTCACTTCTATCCATGAGATAGAAATTGTTCCCACTTTAAACTTGTGGATACTTAGGCTCAGACAGGATGGATGACATGCTCAAGGCTGTAAATAATCAATGACAGAAGGATGAGAATCCAGACTTTCTGACTCTATCCATCTCTTCCTTTCCTGGTTCCTTACTAGAGGTGTGATACAATTCAAAGTTTTAGCATGTGGAATATACTCTCATGACCTAGTCTTCACCTGCAACCTGGCCAATGTACGGCTGTTAACCCATGTGCCCCATGTTCTCATCATACTGACCATCTCATGGCTCTTATGCTGACATACAACATTTCCTCATTCTTGCTTGCTTTTGCCCATGTTGTTCCCCCCTCCCTTCTCTCAACACTCAGTGCAAATATTACCTCTTCTGTGAAATCCCTCCATACCACCCTCCTTTACTGCCTGAGACCATGATCAGAGCCTCTTTTTTTATTGGAGTTCAAGGCCACCATATATACCTGTGCAGTGTGGCAGCTCGGTTCCTTGCAATGATTTCTTCTCCTGTGTTTCCACATAACTTGTCAATCTTTCTACCAGTATGTGAACATATCTTATGTTCTAATTGTTAATGTTTATACCCTTGTCTCCTTTGGGGAGATGCTGAGCCCCTTATCCCACTTCAGACACCCAATTGTAGAACCGGGAGCTCAGGGCTCACAAGGGGGTGGCTCAATGCACATACCTGTGCTTCCAGCTTCAGGAATGCAGCCTCATACTTCAGGTTGGAAAGAAGCAAGTCTCAAATTAAAGGAGTTGGAAAAGAGAAGGAGGGTTCTTGCTGGACAATTAAATACTAGGATGGTAGCCTGGTCAGGGAAAACAGTTTTACTTGTTAGAAAGAGATAAAACATATTCAAAAGGAGGAGAAATGTGTGAAGGAGAGCAGTTAAAAAGAAATTCTAATTTATAGTAAAGGGTAATACTACATTATAATGTGGGATTGGTGAAGCTTGAGTCATTTGTCTCTTTGGTTTCCTCTTCCAGTGAGAAAGGAGAGGGGAGTTGAGCTTCAAATCTAATTTTGAGTGAAATAAAGATAATAGAAGAGAGGAGGAGGCAAAAAAAGGGGGCATACAAAGGTGAAGGTGCTAAAAATGGGGACGGGAAACAATAATCAATTCCTGGCACACACTAAGTGATCAACAATTATTTTGCATTAAATTAAATACTATTTGCAGAATTTAATTTTACTGGTGAATTTCTTTACTTCTCTTCTAGGAAAAACAGCAAACATTATTTGCTCTGCTTGCTTTGGGAAAGGCTCTCAGCTCATGTCTGCCGTCCAGTGGCAGGTTAATGGAAGCATAATTGGGAACTCTGGTGAAGCAAGAATTCAAGAGGAGCAAGAGCAAAATCAAAGGTATTCTCACACTGAAGTTAAAACACCTCCCACACAATTGCAACTGCTGAGTAAGCACTGAAAGTAACCAGTTGCCTTCTTAGTTCTAGCAATGAGCTGACTTGTCGAAGCACCATTTTAAGAATAGCTGATGTAAGAGAAGAGGATTTGTTGCTGAAGTATGACTGCCTGGCCAGGAATTTTTATGGCTTGAGAAGGCACACCATAATACTAAGGAGGAAAAAGCCAAGTAAGGAGTGTTTCTGAGACTTTGGTCACCTGAGTTTCTTGTGTGAGTTATAAGCTGAAATCATTTTCTTAGAGAATGAGATGTTGCCTTATGGTTCCAGGAGGATACATCAAAACAGAGGAAGTGGGCCAACAAATAAAATGTGCTTCTCCTCTTGAGAACACTGGGCTTCTGCAGTAACGTCTCCTCAGACTGTTTCTGTTTGTCTGTTTGCCTCACTATTGCTTTACTTCTTTCTTCTACTTCTCCCCTCTCCTGCCCTCCTCCTCTTCCTTCCTCTTCTTCCTCCTCCTCCCCTTGTGCCCCCCTCCCAATCCTCCTGCTGGTTCCTCTTTAATACCCATCTGCTTCCTTGGTCTTCCTTTTGCTTTCTCATTTCATTAGACCTCTCTGTCTCATTGTATGTTAAAGAAAACACACCAACAGCAAACTATGGACATGTTCTTTTGTTACCTTTTGTAACACATTATTAACACGTCCCCTTTTATAATGTATTTTTTTGTCATAAAAAAACAAATATTTTGTTAGTGAAGCTGGTAAAGTGAATGGAAAAATGAAATGTTTAATTTCTGCCCATTCCAGTAAGAAAATCTGATTCCTAATGCACTGCCTACATTTCCATTTTAGAAATGTTCTCTGGTTACCTGTGTATTGGAACTGTTTTCATGTTAAATGTAGTCAGTGATTTTGTTCATTCTAGTTTATTTACATTTGGTATCTTTCACCTGTTTTTCTTCAAATCAACATGGTTATAGTGTTTCAACAACTGGTAAATTAAACAAAATTTTTTGCTACTGTGATCAGACTGTCACAATGAATTCCTTTATTTCTAATCATAGAATAAAAGAAATCACAGCATTGTCTTCAATTTTAAAAACAAAAACTTAAAAAGCCTATCTCTCCACATTACTAAATATTATTCAATACATATTTGATACTCATAATAATATTATACATTTATTTATTATTTCCTATGTACCAGGACCTAATTATTTTTCATTGAATTTCTTATTTTTTTAAATCAATACTCCATGAGAAAGAGACTATTACTATCATCTAATTTTAAAGAAGAGGAATTTGGGGCAAAGAAGGGTTGAATAAGTTGCCAAATATTAGAGTTATAAAGGCAAGATTAAAAAACAGGCAGTGTTTTCCTATTTATAAGCACTTCCAGAAAGTATTTAGTGTTCAGTCATCATGTAAAAAATTATTTATACATGTATAAAGTCATTAACATTTATGAAGATATTGAACTTGAACTTCCTTCAATGTCTTGGATTAACTTCTTTCCTTCATTTGAAAATAACCAGCCACATCCATGGTTACTTCACAACAATCTCCACAAGAAGTATAGATTTCTAGGATTCATCCAGATAGGAGTTTTTGAAAAAGTGCCCTGAGGAGGAATCCTGTTGAAATGATGTTCTTAGGGAGTATTTAGCATTTAAACTGATGACAGTTCAGACAGTAAGCTCTCTGTCAATCTGCCTCACTCCCCCCGCCCCCAACCCCAGCCCACCTTCCAGCTTTGAATCACTTCATTTTGGTCATTCTTGATCTCATAGTGCTGCATACTCAGGAAGCTGAAGATCAATTGGAGAAATTTTTAACATGGGCCAGTCCTTTTTTATCTCAAACCTGGGAGCCCATGCTTTGAGATTTGAGATGAAAATCAAAAGACAACAATATAACCAATTCTCATTTGAGATTCTTCTTATGTGCATCATTAAGTGGGACTATTTGTAAAATGTGATAGCAATTCTAAAGAATCAAGTAAACTTAAAACAGCCAAAAAAGTATTAATGAGCTCAGTTCTTATGTTCAGTTTGTATTGCAATACATACCTGTTACAAGTTCTTGAAGATGGGAAGTTAATAATACAAGTTGTTGCATATGTGAAGGAACAAGCACAGGATAAACTTCAGTGATGGCTAAAGAATGTTCACCATAGAGAAGGAAGGGGTATGTGTGGGACTGGAATCTTGCAATTTGACTTCTCTGTCAGATAGCTTTAGAGGCTTAAATGGCTCCTGTTTCTTCTCCACTTCCCCAGGTCACCAACTCCAGATTCAACAAGTTCCCAGGACTTGTTAATTCTTTCTCCTTAGTACCCCCAATATTGGGCTTATCCATTCCTTCTTCATTATTAGATGAGTTTGTGACCTTTTCAGCTCTCACTCCAAGCACTCCCGCCCATTCTACTCCAAGTCCCTTTCCACAGAAACAAACCTTCCACTGCCATCAGATTAATTTTACTTTAAAACCTAGTTCATTGTTAACACCTCACTCAACAGTCTTCAATAGCTTTCATGACCTTCAGAATAAAGGCTAAATACCTTAGCTGGAGCCTCAGTTCTGGCCAAAACCTAGCCCTGACCTACTTTTGTTACTGATTCTTCCATTCATTCCCCAAATTGGATCACTCCAGTTACTCAGAAAACACACCGCCATCGTTGCCCTTGGGTTCACAGCATTTTCTCTTGCCAGAAGTAATCCATTTTCTTTTTTCCAGCAATGTGAATCTTACCTGTTCTTCAAGACCTCCTTCTGCAGGAAGCCCTCATTGCCCGGTCTAGCACAGAGTGAGCATTCATTCTAAAAACCTCTGACAGTCAAAATCATGCCTTTATTTCCTATCTCAGTTAGGTTTACATGTGTCTCTGTGTCTTGTACACTCCAAGAATTTCCTACAATACCTCGCCTGGTGCCTTACACATAATATGGGCTCAATAACTGTTCATTGACTGATTCTTAGAGCAGCATGACAGTTCCAAGTCAGCATCTGTTAATGAATCCCTTGTACCCCCAGTAGAAGCCAGCATCCATATATTTGTTTATTTTACTTTGTTTTCATAATAACGATGATCATTTTCTGTCCTCCCTCTATCTTTGAATAGTTGATCGTCAAAGCACCTACTACATACTTGCAGGATTTGGCATATTGTTAATGCTAATCAATATCATGATGATAATGCTGAAAGTGTTCTGGATTGAGGTTGTTCTGCTCTGGAGGGACATAGCTAGACCTTACAAAACTAGAAATGGTAAGTAGCAAGTTTCAAGTTCTTTAAAAGAAAAGGTCCTATAATGGCTGTTGGTCACTTGTTGCAATCTCGTAATAGCTGTGCTACAAAATCCAGCTTCCCTTTTGCTTACCAGCATATAATTAGTAAATCTTTGAGTTCACTCAGAGGCTGTTCTTTGTCCTGCCTTGTCACTTCTTGTGGCTCTAAGATGCATCTCAACAATTCAAACTTCCTCCCTAATAGGATTGCTTCTAACTGAAGCCCAGTGACAGACTGCCCCAAACCCAGAAAGGTTTACACATTTTGGAAAATGTATATTGGTAAACAGTGTGGAATTCAAAACATTAACTCTATTGTTCCGAATTTCCAAACGTGAAGAGGTTAAGTCCATTGTAATACAGGAACCATGATCCATAGAGTCTCACCTATGCACATGAAAGAAGACAGTTCTGCCTGCTAAATGGGAACACTGTTCTTTCATTTGGTGACAGATAGAGTTTAGATATTCCATATGGTCCAATCCACTAAAGCGAATTATTGGATTTGTTGTAAATTTAGATCCCTTAAAATTTTCCACTATTTTGCCAGTATTAGCCTTTAACATTTTGATTTCCCTAGGAGAAGCATGGGGAAAACAAAAGATAAAATTGAGATTGTTCTCAACACAGAATACCTTATCCATGACTTGTTCATTTTACATTCTTTTAAAAAAATTTTTTTTATTGATGTTCGAATATAATTGTCTCCATTTTCCCACTACTAATTCCTGCTTCATACCCATCCCCACCTCCTGCCCTCAATCCTACCACCCTTTGGCTTTGTCTATGGGTCCTTTATACATATCCATTTATGACTCTTTCCCATCTTCCCCATGTTATTTCCTTCTCCTCTCCCCTCTGGTTACTGTCAGTTTGTTGTTAATTTCAATGTCTCTGGTTATATTTTGCTTGCTTGTTTGTTTTCTTATTTAGGTTATTTTGTTATTTAGGTTCTCACTTATAGGTGAGATCATATGGTATTTGTCTTTCACTGCCTAGCTTACTACACTTAGCATAATGCTCTCCAGTTCCATCCATGTTTTCACAAAAGGTAGGAGCTTCTTTCTTTCTGCTATGTAGTATTCCTTTGTGTAAATGTACCATAGTTTATTGATCCACTCATTTACTAATGGGTACCTAGGCTGCTTTCAGCACTTGGCTATTGTAAATTGTGCTGATATGAACATTGGGGTACATAGGTTCTTTTGAATTAGTGTTTCAGGGTTCTTAGGGTATAATCCCACCAGTAGAATTGCTGGGTCAAAAGGCAATTCCACTTTTAGTTTTCTGAGGAAATCCATACTGTTTTCCACAGTGGCTACACCAGTTTACATTCCCACCCACAGTGCACTAGGGTTTCCTTTTCTCCACAACCTCCCCAGCATTTCTTGTTTGTTGATTTGTTTACCATGGCCTTGCTAATTGGCTGATTGGTGTGTAGTGGTTTCTCATTGTGGTTTTAATTTGCATCTCTCTGATGGCTAGTGATGAAGAGCATCGTTTCATATGTCTCTGGGCCCTATGTATGTCCTTGGAGACATGTCTGTTCAGGTCCTTTGTCCATTTTTTCATTGGATTGTTTGTGTTCCTGGAGTGGAGTTGTGTGCGTTTGTTATATATTGTGGAGATCAAGCCCTTGTTTGAGGTGCCATTGGCAAATATATTTTCCCATACACTTGGTTCCTTTTTTGTTTTGCTAATGTTTTCTTTAGCCATCCAGAAGCTTTTTATTTTGATGAAGTCCCATTTGTTTATTCTTTCCTTTATGTCCTGTGCTCTAGTGGACATACTAGTGAAAATATTGCTTCATGGAACATCTGAGATTTTCCTGCTTATGTTCTCCTCTAGAACTTTTAAGGTATCACTACTTATATTTAAGTCTTTTGTCCATCTTGAGTTTATTTTTGTGTATGGTGTAAGTTCATGGTCGAGTTTCAATTTTTTCAATGTACCTGCACAGGTCTCCCAAGAGCATTTGTTGAAGTGGCTATTTTTATTCCATTTTATGTTTTTATCTCCTTGTCTAATGTTAATTGACCATAAAGACATGGCTTTATTTCTGGCCTCTGTATTCTGTTCCATTGATCTATGTGTCTGTTCTTATGCCCATACCAGAGTGTTTTGATTACTGTGACCTTGTAATATAGTTTGATGTCAGGTATGGTGATCCCTTCTACTTTGTTCTTCTTTCTCAAAATTGCTGCAGCTATTTGGAGTCATTTAGGTTCCATACACATTTTTGAAATGTTTGTTCTATATCTGTGAAATATGCCATTGGTATTTTAATAGGGATTGCATTGAATCTATAAATTGCTTTGGGTAGTATGGACATTTTGATAATACTTATTCTTCCAATCAATAAACATGGTACATGCTTCCATTTTTTTGTGTATTCCTTAATTTCTTTCTTCAGTGTTGTATAGTTTTCTACACAACCTAACTAAGGAGGTAAAATACCTCCTAAGTTAGGTTTATTTCTAGGTACTTTATTTTTCATGTTACTATAGCAAATGGAATTCTTTTCCAGATTTTTGTTTCTGATATTTCATTGTTGTACAAAAATGCCTTCAATTTCTGAATATTGACTTTGTATCCCTGTTTTACCAAATTCACTTATTACATCTAGTAGTTTTTTTTGGTGGAGTCTATAGGTTTTCTATGTACACTATCATGTCATCTTCAGACAATGACAGTTATGCTTCCTCTTTTCTAATTTGGATACCTTTTATTTCTTCTTGTCTGTTTGCTGTGGCTAGGACTTTCCATACTATGTTGAATAGAAGTGGTGAAAGTGGACAACCTTGTCTTGTTCCTGATCTTAGTGGGAAAGATTTTAGTTTTTGCCTATTGAGTATGATATTGGCTGCAGGTTTCTAATATATGGCCTCTATTATGTTGAGGAATGCTTCCTCTATTCCCACTTTGCTAAGTGTTTTTATCATAAATGGGTACTATATCTTATCAAATGCTTTTTTTGCATCTATTCATATGATCATGTGATTTTTGTCTTCCCTTTTGTTTATGTGATGTATTTATTTTATTGATTCATGAATATTGTACCATCCTTGCATCCCTGGGATGAATGCCACTTGGTCATTGCATATAATCTTTTTAATATATTGCTGGATGTGATTTGCCAATATTTTGTTGATGATTTTAGCATCTATGTTCATCAGTGATACTGGCCTGTAGTTTTCTTTCTTTTTTATGTCTTTACTTGGTTTTGGGATTAGGATGATGCTGGCTTCATAAAAAGAGTTTGGGAGTCTTCCATCTTCTTGGGAAGTAGCCTGTGAAGGATAGGGGTTAGCTCTTCCTCAAATGGAAGGAAGGAAATTCCACAAAGTAGAATTGTCCTGTAAAACTGTCTGGTCCAGAGCTTTTATTTGTTGGGAGTTTTTGGATTACTGCTTCAATTTTGTTAGCTGTTATTGGTCTGTTCAGGCTTTCTGCTTGTTCTTCAGTCAGTTTTGGAAGATTATATTTTTCTAGAAATTTGTCCATTTCGCCTAGGCTTTCAAATTTCTTGGCATATAGTTTTTCATAGTAATTTCTTACAATCCTTTGTATTTCTGTGGCATCAGTTGTAGTCTCTCTTCTTTTGTTTCTGATTGTGTTTATTTGGGTCCTCTCTCTTTTTCTCTTGATGAGTTTGCTTAAGTTTTGTTGATTTTGTTTATCTTTTCAAAGAACAAGCTCCTGGATTTATTGATCCTTAGAATTGTTCCTTTAGTCTCTATATCATTTAATTTTGCTCTGATCATGGTTTTTCCTTCTACTTGCTCTGGGCTGTCTTTGTTGTTCCTCCAGTTCTTGTAGATTTAGGTATAGGTTGTTTATTTGAAATGTTTCTATCTTTATTAGGTAGGCCTGTATTGCTGTGAACTTCCATCTCAGGATTTCCTTTGCTGTGTCCCATAAGTTTTGGACTGTTGTGAGTTCATTGTCATTTATTTCCAGAAATTTTTGATTTCTTTCGTAATCTCATTCTTAACCCATTCATTCTTTAATAGCATGCTCTTCAATCTCCATGAGTCTGAGTGTTTTTCAGTTTTTTCCTTTGGGTTGGTTTCTAGTTTCAGTAACTTGCAGTAAAAAAAAAAAATCCATGATATGATTTCAATGTTCTTGAATTTTTTGAGGCTTGTTTTGTTTCCTATCATGTGGTCTATCTTTGAAAATGTTCCATGTGCATTTGAAAATAATGTGCATTTTTTTTTCATTGGGATGAAAGATTCTATATGTATAATAGTTAAGTCTATTTGATCTAGGGCATTGTTCAGTTCTGCAATATCCTTCTTGATATTTTGTTTGGAAGATCTACCCATTTTTGACAGTGGGGTGTTAAAATCCCCTAGTATAAGTGTGTTGCTGTCTATATCTTTCTTGAAGTTCTCTAAAATGTTTCTTATCTATTTGGGTTCTCTTATGTTGGGTACATGGATGTGTATATTGTTTATGTCTTCTTGATGGTTTCTTCCCTTGAGTATTAAGCAGTGTCCTTCTGTGTCTCTTTTTATGGCCTTTGTTTTGAAGTCTATTTTGTCAGATATAAGTATGTCTACCTCAGCTTTTTTTCCTGTCCATTTACATAGAATATTTTTTCCAGCCCTTCACCTTCAGTCTGTGTAGGTCTTTTGTTTTGAGGTGGATCTCTTGTAGGCAGCATGTGTAAGGGTCATGTTTCATCCATTTAGCTACCCTATGTCTTTTGACTAGAACATTTAATCCATTTATATTTAAGGTTATTATTGATAAGTACTTATTGCCATTTTACTCCCTTTGTACCTTTGTTCCTTTCTCTCTCACTGTTTCTCTTCCTCTTCTTAAAGCAGTCCCTTTAGCATATCTTGCAGTGCTGTGTTGGTGGAGATATATTCTTCTAGCTTTCTTTTGTCTGGGAAGCTCCTTATTTTGCCTTCCATTTTAATTGAGAGACTTGCTGGATAGAGTAGTCTTGTTTGCAAGCCTTTGTTTTTCATTAATTGGAATATTCCTTGTCAATCTCTTCTGTCCTGTAGCATTTCCATTGAGAAGTCAGCTACTAGTCTTATCAGAGCTCCCTTGTATGTTATTTCCTGTTTCTCCCTTGCTGTCTTTAAGATTCTTTCTTTGTCTTTAAATTTTGCCATTTTAATTATGCTGTGTCTTGCAGTGGGCCTCTTTGGGTTCCCCTTGATTGGGGCCCTCTCTGCTTCCTGAACCTGTGTGGCTTTTTCTCTCATCAAATTAGGGAAATTTTTCATCATTACTTTTTCAAACAGGTTTTCTATCACTTGCTCCTCTTCTCCTCCTTCTGGTATCCCTATTGTATGGATATTATTCCATTTCATGTTGTCCTGCATTACCCTTAACCCTTTTTCATTCTTTTTCAATCTTTTTCGTTTTCTTGCTGTTTAGGGGAGTTTTTTCTACTTTGTCCTCCATCTCACTGATTTGATTCTCTGCTTCATCAAGCCTGCTTTTGATTCTTTCTATTGTGTTCTTTAATTCAGGAATTGTAGTCTTCATTTCTTCTGTGCCCTTGTTGATTTTTTCTATGTTTTTTTTTATGCTGATGTAGTTTGCAGTAAGTTCCTCACAATTTCCTCATAGTTTTTGGTAATTCTCTCTGAGTTCATTGAGCTTCCTTATGACCATTGTTTTGAACTCAATATCTGATAGCTGACTTGCCTGTATTTCATTTAGCATTCTTTCTGGGGAGTCTTCCTTTCCTTTTGATTGAGAGTTGTTTCTTTGTCTTCCCATTGTTTCTGGTTTTCTGTATGTAATTAGGTTTTGATTGTTGTTAAGTTGTTCTTTCATGGGTCTTTCCCTGCTGCTGGTTGACTGAGGGTCACTTCGCCCACCATGTCTTGTGTGCTATTGTCAGGTGCTGCCTGAACAAAACCACAGAGCCCAAGAAACAAATCCACACTCACAAGAATATCTCCCCCCAATCCCACTATCAATAGCAAATGAACCAGTAGTAATGACGTTGTAATGAGATTAAGACTTTCTCTATAAGAAAAGAGAGTGGATATGAGATGACCTACTGAAAGAGAAATGATTTTGAGAAGGTAGAGGGAGGAGCACTAATAAGAGTTGGGGGTTGGAGCAATGGAATGAGAGTATGTAAAGTATATCTCATGAATAAAGAAAGGGAATGAAGAGTGTAGAATGCAGTATGAGAAGGGAAGCATGTGTAGTATGAAGTTTAAACATAAATTAAAATGGTATAAAATAAAATAAAGTGGGACAGAAAGAAAAAGGAGGGAAAATATTAAATAATTAATAAAAATATAGCAGCCAAACTGGAGAGAAAGATCCAGTGGAGTACTATTAACAACAAGTGACCTAAAGTTAATGTAAGTGGTATGGGAATAAGAGGGGAAAAAAGAAAAAAAGAAAATTCTAAGAGATGTTTAGAGGAATGGAAAGTGATTTTATAATGACAGAGGGAAAGGAAATACTAAGAGGAACAAAAAGCAGAATAAGTGAGGGAAAAATTAAAGTTTGGGATGTAAAGGAAAGGAAGGGAAAAAAGAGAATAAAGAGAAATAAAAGGGCAGGATGTAAGAGAAATAGAAGAAAGAAAAAAGTAAAGAGAGAAAAAACAGGCTAAGATGGCATTATTAAAATTTGGGCCCCCTCCCAAAAAATATGGCCCTGGCTAGAGTAGCTCAGTGGATTGAGCTCGGGCTGCAAACCAAAGTGTCGCAGGTTCTATTCCCAGTCAGGGTACATGTCTGGGTTGCAGGCCATGACCCTCAGCAACTGCACATTGATGTTTCTCTCTCTCTCTCTTTCTTCTTCCTTCCCTCTCTAAAAAATAAATAAATAAAATCTTAAAAAAAACTAAAAAAAAGTACTAGGAGAGGGGTCCAGTATAACTTGTTATTTGAAACACAGAATTAGTGAAGCTCTAGAGATAACCTTGAAAAAACAATGCAACAACTACTATGCTACCCACAACCAGCTAGCAAAGTTTGTTAAAAGTGTAGAGAGAAAATGTGTATTTTAGGAGCTGGGCAAAAGAATGTGAAATGACCCTTGGCAAGAGAATTCGTTTTGAGTGTCTAGATAGGGGAGAAATAGTAAGAGTGTGAAATGGAAATAAGTTGTAGCTAGAAAGAAAACCAAATTTGAAATGAAAATATTGCAAGGAAAGAGGAAGGTAAAATGGGCTAAGAGCAGGCAGGGGCAAAATATGTGAATTGAAATATAGTATAGTATAAAATCTAGTAACATTATATATAAACTCACTGGACAAGAAATGAATGTTATAATATGTAGGAAAGAAAACATCACAAATCATGAAGAAAAACATAGTGGTTTTTGTCTTGGTAGCCTCTTGTATTTACCTCTTGTATCTGCCTCAGGTGATGTCAGCTGTTCACCCTGTCTGACCTTAGGCAGCCTGTTCCATACTTCCAATGATCTGCTATCACTGGCTGTCTCCTTCAATTGTTAATCTGGTCACTCTGTATTCAGCAGTCAGATTTAAGCTCCATGCTGGATCCCCTCCATAGTGGGTCTATTGTTTCCCCTCAGGCTGTTGCTGCTCAGAGAGGAGTGGTCTGCCTAAGCAGGATGGTTGCTGCTTATGGGGGTGGGCTCAGTACTCGTGGCTACTTTCTCAGTTCTCTCCCCAAAGCCTCCATCCCGTCTCTCCTCTAGCCTCTCTAGTCCACTCTGTCCCACCTTTGCTAGTGATCTACTGTCTCTGGCTGTCTCCTTCGGTTGTTCATCTGGTCACTAAGACTCAGCAGTCAGGCTTAAGCAACAAAGGGCCAGGGCAGAGACCCTCCTGAGGTTGGGGCTATTATTTCCCCTCAGGCTACTGCCACTCAGAGGGAAGTGATCTGCCTGAGCACAAAAGCTGCTGCCACCTGGGGGATGATTCTTCCTCGGGATTCCCACAGCTACTCTCTCAGTTCTTTCCCCAAGGCTTTATACTCCCCACCCCCTTGCCCCCACCTTGTCTCTCCTCAGGCGTCTCCAACCCACTCTGTCCCCACATTTGCTGGTGCCCCCAGGTAAGTGGCTGCAAATGAAGATTTGTGTGTTGGCCCTTTAAATGTCCCTTGTGTCTTCAACTGTCTATCTTTGTCAGAGAGCAACCCTGCCACTTTTTACAACTGGTTGTTATATGTGTACTTTTTGGGCTCTGGTGGTCTAGGCTGGGAATCTGAGCTAGGGTTTAGACCCCAAACTTTTCTAGGGTATCCAACTGGCTGCTTTATCCCACCAGTGCTGCCACCTGTGGGTATCCAGCCAGCCCTCTCGAGTCTCCACTGCACTCCCTATCAGATGGGTTGTGCCGAAGCTGGTTCTGTATGTCCGAAGTTACATACTTCTCTCTGGCTATTGCTCAGTTGTTTCTTCTGAGTGGTTTCTCCACAATTGAGTTGTAATTCCAGATTGGTCCTGGGAGATCAGTGTGACTTCTATTCATTCTTCTACCATCTTTCTTCTCCTTATTTTACTTCTTTTCATAATAATAATCATCACTTTTTTGTCCTCCCTTTATCTTTTGAATAGTTGATCATCAAAGCACTTACTACATACTTGCAGGATTTGGTATATTGTTAGTGCTAGGCAATATCATGATGACATTGTGAACAACACTTGTTAATACAGTCTGATTAAATGTAACAATATGGTTTGAACTAACCTGTACAGGTTCTTCCCTGTTCTGTACCATTCAGTCTGGGGCAATAAAAGGGACAACTTTGGGATTAAGATCAATTTTCTGATGATATTTTGTGGTCATAGACTATTATCATCATCTCTAGATTCTAGAATATTTGGAGTGCTGGAATATCATCACTACTAACCATAAAACTTGGTGATAAATAATAATTTTTATAGAACCAAGGAATAAAGTTGTACTTGCTCTCATTTTCAGATGGGAAGATCTATGATGCTTATGTTATCTATCCATGGAACCACAAAGATAGTCCAGAAGCAACCAGTTCTGTTGACTACTTTGTTCACCAGATTCTGCCTGATGTTCTTGAAAATAAATGTGGCTATAACTTATGCATTCATGGGAGAGATTTGCTACCTGGAGAAGGTAACACTATCAACATACATCAGGAACAGAAATTCACTTCATCAGAAGGCTAAGCAATGGGTGATCTTATCCCTGCATTGGATAATGACTTAGAATCATTTTTCTAGGCTTTAAGACCAGAGATTTTAAATATTTCTCCAGAAAAATGAGATACTTAATCCTTGCTTCTCCTGTCCCTTTGTTGCCTCTTCACAGTAGTGTCAGTGATGTGAAGACAGGATAAGGCATCCTTAGCATGTGAATTTAGCAGGGCACTGCCCCTACTTTATTTCCCATGTCCACTAGTAGGATTACTCAATATTTCTTAATTCTCTATAGAAGATTTGAGTATACAACCAAAGAATTCTGTTCTAACATCCAGAGGCAATTCTAAAATGTTTATAGTGTTATATGACTTTCCTTATGTTGGTGAAACATTTGCAAATTTATATTCTCACAAGAACAACTAAAACTGTGTCTCCTGTTTCTTAATATTGCCAGCTGATTTTATGTACTTTTACAAGTTGTGTCACAATTCTAGCACTTCAGTAGTCGTTCTTATCTTCCCTCTATATTTATGACACATGCCTATGAGCTCTCCTTATCTTTCTCAAATTCCTCAGACACCAGGAAGCATTTGGAATGTGAATTAGGGAGGGACATTAGGAACATAAGTCCAATAAAGTTAATGTTTAGTAAACCGTGGGTTTAAACTGGCATTCCTACTGAAAGGAAGGATTCACATGCCTATGGATTAAAAGGAACACACAACAGGTGAATTTGGTTTATACTGGAATATTCAAGCAATGTTAATAACCTACTAATGGCTTGGGAGACTCATAAAATGTATAATTCAGGAAACCGTAATCTAAGTAATTGAGGGTCTCTTCTTTTCCAGCTATCCCCACTGGCTACCATGAGAGCAGAGAGTCAGGAGTCATGGCACTCAAATGCTCTTTTCATATTACACATCTGCTCAAGAAGTTGCAGAGACTCTAGCTATTAGTGATGTCACACTATTTCTAGTTATACCTCTTCCCAGTCAAACAAGAATGCTAGCTCACTGAGGCTCAAGCTTATGCTGCCTTTTTGGTGTTGTTTTTCATGTGGAAAGGTTTTTCACTTCACCCTCCTCAAGTATGTCCTCTGATTACCTCAATTGAAGTAAAATAAAATCCAACAAAACAACACCAGACTTTACTTTTCCCGTAGGAAAAAGTTTTTGTCTGACTGATGCAGTATATTTCTTCCCATGCTAGTTACCTTCTATCTGTTCCTTCAAATCTACTCTGTAACCCCTTTTACACAGTGGCCCTGGGTGGCTGGTCGTTATGGAATCTATCCTCCCTTGCCCTCTGCTCCATGTTGGTTTTGGCCAAAGGGAGGCACTGTCAGGAGTTCTGGAGAGGAGCGGGCACATCCTTTGCCCCTTCTGGGTGAAGTTGCCAGGGTAGTTGCACTTCTCTCTCCTGGATCAGGGTTTCTGTCAGTTGGCTTTCCTCAGTCCTTTACACTCCTTGGATTTCATAACTACTTCCTCCCTTGCACAGTGGAGGGTATAATGTCTCCCTGATATTACCAGTTGTGGGATTCTGTACCATCTCTTATTGATTTCCCTGAGCTCTGCCCACATCATGAAAACTTTCGTAAATTTCTCATTTCATTAAACTCTTTCATCAGTCCTTTAGAATGTGCCAAGTTTTTGTTAGCATCCTGACTGACCCAAGGGGGCTTTATTGGGCTCTATTTAACATTTACTTCCTTATTTCAGCCTAAATAAATAGGCCATCTTTTAGCCACCACTCTCTAAGGATAACTGGAGTTGTTTTGTTCATGGTTGGGTTTCCTTAATCAAGCTATCACCTCCTGGCAGTGATATCTGGGCATTTTACATGTTTTTCTGAGTCTGCTCAGAAGTTAGTTAAAATCACTATGGAGCTGATGCTTTATAAACACTGACTTGCCAAAGGGATTCATCTCCCTTAAGATTTTTCTTGTCCGGATTAAAGCAGCTTCTAAAACAGAATGGGGGGAAATGAAGAGGATCTAGGACTTCCTAGAGACATTAGTTAGTTGAGAAGAACAAGGGTTCCTCCATTTGCAGTCTTTAATATGAGAGTGAAAATTCTGAACACTTTGAAAACTTGTAAACTAATCTTTAAAAAAATAATATGTAACTAATGAGCCTGAATTTAACTGGAAGTATCTTGCTTTAGTTAGGACTGACATGCCTGGGAAAGAACAGGGCCTTGGCTCTTATCTCACAGTGAAAGGGGTAAGATATAACATTTCTCCTTTTCCAAAGAAGTGAATTGATAGTGTCAAGATCTTACACCAGATTATAACAATCACAATTTTTAAAAGTTTCAATACATTTATGATCAAAGCATTAGACTTAAAAATGCAACAACAGGAAATCTTCTCCATGTCTTTGATTACTAGATATGGCTACTGCGGTGGAAACCAACATCCGAAAAAGTCGGCGGTACATTTTTATCCTGACGCCTCAGATTGTATATGGCAAGGAGTTTACCTATGAGCAGGAGATCGCCTTGCACCGTGCCCTCATCCAGGACGACTCCAAGGCGATTCTGATTGAAATGGAGGCTCTGAGTGAGCCAGGTAGACTGCAGCTTGCTGGGCTTCCAGATTCCCTCCAGCACCTGGTAAAAGTGCAGGGTACCATCAAGTGGAGGGAAGACCATGTGGCCAACAAGCGGTCCCTGAACTCCAGATTCTGGAAGCATGTGAGGTACCACATGCCTGTACCAAACAGACTTCCAAGAAAGACCTGCATTCTGGCTTCTTCAAATGCACAGGAGCAGTAGGGCCTATGTGGGTGTGTTGATGCACCAGACTTTGTAACTGGGGCTTCTCCTACTTGGATTATACCACTGTGCTAGACAGTGAGAGTTGGGCCTTGAGAAGTAGGAAGGGCAAGAGAATTTTTATCTTGAAACTTTACTTCCATTTTCCTGATTCTGTATGATTACAAAATGCTTCCAAATTTTTACCCTCAATCCCCTTCTCTCTATCCAACCTTTCCTCCCCTTTCTCCTTTGCTGGTCTTTCTCCACTGTGGTCTGTGATCTTTTCACTGTGATCTTTTTCTCTTTTTCTTTCTTTCTGATTGCCCTCTCCTTATTCCTTATCAATATTCTACATTTTAGATATCAAATTCAAAATTTTAGAGTTCAACTTTTATGTTAGCTGGAAGAACACTCAGATTCCTTTGACCAGAACACTGGTAGTAAATCTTGTTTCACATGCCAGAATTTATCATATTTTATTTGATCAGGGCTTAGTTTTATCATCTCAATATTGCCTATTTTGTTGGAGTACCTTACTCAATCACCATTATAATCTAGTTTGCTTCAGTTCTAAAATTTATTTCATATATTGTTATTTTTATTAGAAATCTTTTTCTCACTATAAAAATTACAGAATAGAAGGTATAAAACAAGAAAATAGCAAAAATAATTCATGGATCTATAATCCTAAGATTATGTATTTGCTTTTAAAAAATAATTCATATTTAAACATACCATTTATATACTGAGATTACATAGTGTGTAGTTTTTATATTTTTTATACCTAACATCATGATAAAAGCATTTGACATGTCATTTAGATTTTAACATTTTAAAATATTTGTACTGTTCTATCTTGTGCTTGTGCTACAGTGGCCTTGTAATGATAGCTATCATTATAATAATCTGCAATGACCATATCAATATATCTTATATCTTTCAATTAAAAAAACTTTTAATTTCAGAAACTTCATTTGTTGCCATATTTCTGTGAAATTAGTAGGACATTTTGACAGAACTGTTTTGATAAACTAAAGCTAATTTGTACAGTCTAGGCTGTTCCTGTCAGAACATCCCTGGAGTTCACTCACCCGCCCTCAGGGGCCACAGAGCTCATCAGTGGACCCAGAGCTAAGGCAGAGTGTCCCCTCAGCAGGGAGTCCTGTCAGAGTACAGATTCTGCAAGTCGATGGAGGCTCTACCCTCAGTTAAGCTGCTTAATAAATTGTATGATTTTGTATTTAACTGGCCCCCAACCCCCCCTCCCTGCAAAATACTATACTGCAGACCCTTGACAGGAAGTGTAATCTTGAAGTCACTGCATTCAATACCATGCAAGATCTTGTCTGGAAAGAAACCTTATTTCTCAAAAGTTGCCTAAAGGAATTATAATTACCCATCTCTCTAGATATCCTATAATCTAAATCTACACTTCTTGGATTAGGATTGCTGGGTAAAGTGAAAGTTCAATTCAGAGAATGAAATTTCATATGAAATTGATCTGAAATTCAAATTTTCCTGGGCATCCTGTATCTTTATTTGCTAAATCTTCTTACCCTTCTCTGGTAGATTATCATACTTTTGTGTGTGACATTTGATTTTTTTTATTGTTCAAGTACATTTGTCTCCATTTTCATCCCATCATGCCCTGCCGCCCCACCCATCCCCACTTCCCACCCTTGAACCCACTCCCTTTGGCTTTGTCCATGTGTCCCTCATACATGTTCCTCAATGCCCCCCCCCATTATCCTCTATTGATTTTTTTTGTTACTCAAAAATTAGTCAATGAAAAGGATGTGGTATAGTTGATTGGTTAACATCTTTTAGAATAAACCAGCTATGTAATCATGAGCAAGTTAAATTATCTAAAACGTAGTTACCTTAGGTAAAATGAGAATGATCATAACAAAAAGTTTTTGTATTTCTGTGCTAATCAAATGAAAAAAAAGTACTAGTATTTGCTTCAGAGTAAGAAAGGAATAAATAGTGGCAGTTGTTATGATACTTCATGATGTTTCTTGTAACATGGATTGTATTCCATGTCCTCTCTCAATGATGACCTCGAAAGAATCATCTCTCTCCAGCCCCACTATCAGAATAGATGTGCCTTCATTTCTGCTTCTCCACCCACCTCGAATGAAAGGTGTGTTATTGATTTATGGACACAAGGCATATTGGACCTGATTTTATTTTCCTTTTTACATTAGTTTCTTTTTTTTAAGATTTTATTTATTTATTTTTAGAGAAGGAAGGTAGGGAGAAAGAGAGAGAGAGAGAGAAACATCAATGTGTGGTTGCTGGGGGCCCTGGCCTACAACCCAGGTATGTGGCCTGACTGGGAATCGAACCTGCGACACTTTGGTTCGCAGCCCATGCTCAATCCACTGAGCTACGCCAGCCAGGGCCACATTAGTTTCTCAAAAGCATAGAGCCAAATTTGTGATCTTTCTACAGCAAGTATATAGGAAATCATAATAAGGAATGTATAATAATCTCTTCCCTGTCTCCATAATTCTTTTGTTTTCTATTTGACCCACATTTCTTATCTTTAAATATATATATTTTAGCTTTTAAAAAAAATTTTAATTGTTGTCCCAGTACAGTTTTCTGTCTTTTATTCCCATCCCAGCCTACCCCCCTAGTACTCCCCACCTCCCTCCCCTTTCCACCCCACCACCTAATTTTTGTCTATGTGTCCTTTATACTTGCTTCTGTACCCTTTTCCCCTGAAATTTCCGCCCCTCTCCCTTCTGGTCACTGTTAGCCTGTTCTCTATTTCAGTCTTTGGTTATATTTTGCTTGTTTGTTTTGTTGTTTAGGTTCCTAATAAAGGTGAGATCATATGGTATTTAAATATATTTTAACTCTTTACATTATAAGCTCCTTTGCAAGTATTTAGCAAACATGTACATTTTATAAACATATGCTGAGTATCTCTCTGGAAGGGCATGGAGAAGAAGGTCTATAAAGGGAAATATGCAGGTAAGGCACACTCCTTCCTTACTTTAGGGATTTAGAGTACACTGTGGGAGTGTTACAGAACAAACAAGGGGGTGCCTGGGACGATATACTATTATTGAAAGAAGACCCCGCGTCCATTATGTCCACCACCCTAGGCAAGACGTCTCTCAATGCCAGAGATTTGTGAAAAGGAAAGGAAATGTTTATTTAATGCTATACAAACTTAAAGTAATGACCTAATGTCTTTATCAAAAATCCTAAAGTCCCTAAAAAACACCCACAAACACACAGTCCTTCCTTCCTTCCCCCTTTGCCCAGTCCAGAGTACCGTATCTCAGGAAAGGAAATAGAAGTCCATGGCTCAGGCAGTCCTTTGGTTCTTCCTCTCAGGGCTGCGGGAAGGGGAGAGTCCCCACTCTGTCCAGGCCGCGTGGTTCTCTCTCCCAGGGCCACGGGAGTGAAGAGTCCCCACTCTGTCAAGGCCGCGTGGTTCTCCCTCTCTCAGGGCTGTGGGAAGGGAGAGTCCCCATTCTGTCCAGGCCACGTGGTTCTCTCTCAATGGCTGCCGTGTCTGGGTTTTAATCCCCCATGCCAGTCTTCTTCTGCAGCCCCATTTCCGACTCCTCCTACACTTGGGCACACTTGCCCTCAATCTGCTGTCTTCTCCAGCTTTTCTTGTCGCCATCGTGGGTCTGGGCAGGTGTCACCCCATGTCATGGAGCCAATCTTCTCCCAGCTCCCACGCAGGTGCTGTAACTCAGGGGACATGTCTCCCAGGTCCCATCTTGGGGGGGAAGTCCCTTTCCATCTCCCTGGCCTTGAGCATGGCCATAGCTATTTAGCATATCTAAGTGACCAGCCAAAGGCTATAGGTATGCTAAATGACCATGCCATGGATTAGCTGCAAAGCTGCCCTGCATGTTCTTGCTCTGTGCGCCTGTAGGGGAAGGGGTGAAGACACCTTAAAATCATCTGGACACCTTGAGTTCTGGACCCTATTTCAAATGCCTATTTGGGGTCCTCCCTCTTGGCTGCACTCTGTAACAGGAGCTTGGAAGGAAGAGGGAAACACTCCAGAGACACCCAGAAGGGCTAGACTTGGGAAAAACTGACATTGCTGTACTCTTTTCTTCATCATTCATTTTCCTAAATTTACACACCACTTCCCAGGTCACCTAGGCTATCTGGGCTTCAGTTTCTGCAACTGAAAAATGGGAGGATGGAAAAGAAGACCTCTGAGGGCTTTCTCAGCTCCTACAACTCATGGCTCCAAAGTACACACTCAGAGAGAGGTCACGGACCTGTCAGGCTACCTGGCTTCTGAGACCAGCAGCACCAGCCTCTCTATTTATTCATCTGTGTGGTGAGAGTAATGAGCTCTTCACCTACTACACAAGGTAGTGTGAATAAAATGAATTCAGCCACAACCTGTTGAGTGTCTGTATTATAATTATGGTGAAAAGTTTTGTGAATTATACAAACACAAAGAATTATTTCTAATTGAGTTAAATTTGCATACAATAAAATTCAGATCCTAAGTTTTTACAATTACACATCTGTGTAGTTATCATGCCAAACAAGATAGAAATATTTTCATTATCTTATAAAGTTTCCTCCTACCTCTAAGGCAGACAGTGTTTTGATTCCTGTCTCCATGGATTAGATTTGTCACATCTTGAAATTCACATCAGTAAAGTCAAACATCATTGTGACTCGAGACTTCCATACAATGAACACAATTTCTGAGATTCACCCATATTTTGTATTTGTGAGTAGTTTGTTTCTTTGTATTACTGAGTTGGTTTCCATAGTATGCCTACCCAACAGATTGTCTAACCATTCCTCTGTTGATGGATATACGGGTTTTCCCTTTTATAGCTATCATGAATATGGCTACTGTGGACATATATTTTGGGATTTTTTTTTTGGTTCAATTCCTAGGAGTGGTCATGATATATATCTAAAATTTTAAGAAATTGATAAATTGTTTTGCAATCTAATTGTACCATTTTACATTTCCTGAAGTTACATCTGAGACCTCTGTTGCTCTACCTCCTCACCAATAATTGGTACTGTCAGTTTTCCTCTTATTTTTGTTACTTTAGTGGATGTTAAATGGATCTCATGATTTTAATTACAGTTCTCTGATGATCAATGATGCTGAGCCTTGTTCATGTTTCTGTTGGTCATTCAAACATCATACTCTGAAGGTAAAATCTTTTGCACATTTTTAAATTGTGTTGGGTTCTATGAAGATATTGTTGATGTATAGAGATTATTTTATATTCTGGATACAAGGTCCTCTTCAGGTAGATGTAAGATGAGATATATTCCAGGCTTATCTATTCATTTTTTAAATGGTGCAATTGATTATCAGACATTTTTAATTGTGATGATATCCAATTTCTCAATTTCTCTTTCATGGTCAGTGCTTTCTGTATCCCAGCAAATTATTTTTTTGTTTACCCACTCCAAGGTTATGGAGATAGTCTCCTATGTATTTTTAGGAAATATTTATGATTCCAGCTTTAAAAAAAATTCCTCACCTGAGGATTTTTCAGTTTAATTTTAGAGGAAGGGAGAGAAAAAACATTGATTTGTGTGAGAGAAACATCAGTTGGTTGCCTCCTGTATGCACCCTGACCTGGGATCGAACCTGCAAACTTTCAGTGTATGGGGCGATGCTCGAACCAACTGAGCTCTCTAGACAGGGCTGTGGTTCCAGATTTTAGGCTTAGGTCCATGATGCATGGTAAATTAATATTTGTACATAGAATGAGGTAAGGGCCAAAGTTCACTTTTTTTTCTATAGAGATATCCAGTTGTTCAGCAACATTTGTGAAAGACTTTTCTTTACCCATTGAATTGAAATAATGCTTTGGTCAAAAACCAATAGATTATGTATGTATGGGTCTATTATCTACTTTATTATTTTCTGTTTATAGGCTCATGCAAATATCATACTGACTACTGTTGCTTTATTATAAAACTTCAAGTCATTGTAAGTTCTTTAACTTTGTTTTCTCAAGATTGTTCTGATTATTCTAGATTATTTTCACATAAATTTTAGAAATGATTTCTTTGAAAATTCTTTCTGAGAGTTAGATTGGGATTGCATGAAATATATGGACTCTATAACCTATGGAGCCCATAAGCCATAAACTCTGTAGTTTGTGGAAAATAGGTATTTTAACAATGAGTTTGCCAATCCATAAACATGGAATATTCCTTCATTTACTTAGCAGTGTTTTGTAAATTTCGCAGTAGATATCTTGTACATCTTTCAAAGGATTTATGCTTTCATATTTGATTTTTTTTGTGCTATTTTAAATCATATTTCTAACAAATTTCACTTTCCAAATCTCTACTAAAACTGTATGAAATTATAATTGAGTTTTGTATGTTGACCTCATATTCCATGTGTGGAGAGCAGGACAGAATTAAGATGGTATCAGTCTAGTTAACTAAGATGGCATTGAGGGAAGCCATATTTAGAGCATGCACAGTAGAGCAATGACTGAGAGGTATGATGCAAACCCTCTGCAGTACAACGTGGTAGACAACATGTGTTTATCTGAAGGGTAACACCACCATCTCAGAGCATGGACAGTAGACTGACATAATCAACATGTGCTTATCAAGGTGGCACAAAGCAACATGTGTTAATCAGAGGCTAATCCAACATTGTATCATACAACAGTATAAAAGCAAAAGCTTTCTAATAGACAGCTCAGACAGTAGAGAGGAGCTGAGATAGCTGAAAGGATCTGAGACTCTGAGAGACACTCCACTGCTCCAATCGACCCTGCTGTAGCTCACTCTGAAGCCACCATAGTAGACTCTGCCTTGCAAGATACTGACCAGCTGACTCCTGGAACTGGACCTGATCTGAACTCTTGGGATTCAGGTTCATTATCAGCCAATTCTCTTGTGAAATATTATTGCTGATTGTTTCTGAGTGATTATTGTTATCAGGTTATTATAGATTTGGATTGAATCTGCATTACTAAAAGCTGACTGAATAGCATAGTCACCTGTGATGACTCACTGTTACTCCATGGCATTGGTGTTGTCTGTAGGGCTGGTGGCATTATGGGTGACCTGGCACCTCCGGTCTGTGACAAAGGCTGGAGGCTGGCTTATAGGAAAGACTATAGCATAAACACTTGTAAGGTTACAGTATTGCTCATGACTCCATTATCTTATTTATTGTTTGCAGGGATATTTTTTTTGTAGATTTCAAAGGATGATCTATATAAAATTATGCCCTCTTTCAAAACCAGTAATTTTACTTCTTTCTTTCCCATCTTGATGCTTTCTATTTTTATTTTTTTACTTAATATAAATCGATTGTCCTAGGAGAGAGCTGTCCTTATCTTGTTCCCCATTTTAGTAAAAAAAAAGTGTTTTATTATTAATTAGAAAATTATCTGTTAGTTTCTTATAGATGTTCATTATCAGATGAAGAATGTTCCTTTCTACTTGCAGTTTTCTGAGCATTTTTACTCAAGAAAGTTTAATCTTATCAAATACTTTTCTTATTGTATTTATCAAGATATAATTATATTTATTTTATTATATTAATTATATTAACATTATATATTATATTTATCATATTCATGCTGTGAATTATTTTCATGGGATATACAAATAAAAATCACTGTCTCATTAAATTCTTTCCCTGTAAGTCACGATTTCAGTCTTCATTTTTGTTTGAAAGAGCCAACTGCAGACCAGCCTAAAAATGTACCCTGAGTTCTACCACGCTATGAAAATTTAGAAAAACACTTTTGCCTCAAGCGTTCTTTTCTTCTAAGCAATTTAAATCCTTAATTCCACACATCTGCAGCCTCTCTCAATTGCTTCCCAATAAAAAATCCCCCCCATCCCTCAGGCTAAGCTGAGGGCTCAGGACCCGAGGTGCCTGAGACATACCTGCTCCTCACCTTTTGCTTACCTAAGACTGTGCTGTGTCTTTGAGAGTCTTCCTTGGCTCCTTTTCTGTCCCCAGTCCTTTCCATCCACTTCCCTTCAGTACTGGCGCAGGTTGACTTGACTCCTCATTTTACTCTGCTGCTCACAGCTCTAGGGCCTGAAGGGGGCGTAGGGGAAGCACCAGCGCCCTTCGCCACTACCCAGACCTGCAGGTCACCAGCCACTACCACAGCTCCAGAGTTCCAGGCACCCGCCGCGAATCCCAGGAACCAGGGCACAGGCGCAGGATTCTCCAGCTGCACCACGAACCCCGAGGTCCAGTGGCTCTGGGCACTCCAGGCCTGGCACGCGGGTGGAAGATCCCAGACCCCAAACCACCACCCCTGGACCTGAGCAGTGCCCCACCGCGCCACACCACGCCTCCGCCCGCCGCTTCACAGCCAGAGGCTTTTTATTTCTTCTAACTTTCTGTAAGGTTTCTCTGTTCATCATTCTCCAGCACCTTTATCTGTTCAACCCCAGTCGCAGTCCCTTTCTCTCTCACTTCTTGATTAGCACTGCTAGAAATGCAGCCCCTTTCTGTTTCCCAACTGCTTTCTGAACTGCTTCCCGTGTGGCCACCAGTGTGAGGGAGGGACAACCGCCTCCGCCTCAGCCTCTGTGACACCCGTTGAAAGGTAAGGACGAAGCGCTGCTGCCACCTGTATTACTCTGTCGTCCGCTGGGCAAGTATTCTAAAAACAAAATCAGTTTAAGAATGGATCAAGGGAAGAGAATGAGATGAATGAAGTTTGTCAGGTATGGCGGGATTGCCTAATCATGAAGTTGTCTAATAACTGTGATGCACCCGTCTCGAGGGTTCTAACTCCGGGAAGCACCTTAGATTATAGGCAAACGTTTTACAGTCAGGAAAATTTTAGGTGTGAATCTGAGATGTATGATTTAGTAGCTGGATACCTTTGGATGAATCACTGAATCTTTTTGTGCCTTGGGTTCACCCCCTTTTATTAAGCATAATAAGAGTACCTACTTAATTTGGTTTGTAGGAAGATTAAGTAAAATCATGCACCCACATGTTTTTTACACAGTGTCAAATAAAAATAAAGTACTCAATAAATGAAAACTCTCACTTACTTTAGCTGTTCTAACTTTCCCAGAAAAAAAGTTGGGAATGTTTTTTACCTCTAAAACAATGCTGTTATATAATATATATTATAGTATATAGTAATATTTTTACTATAAGTTATATAATATATAATATGTGTAAATATTAGTATACATGTGTATGCACACACACATTCTTACACACAGTTGAATAACATGTGAAAACATCATTAATTTTGCCTGATTCTATAGTAATTGGAAGTAATTGGAAGGCTATACCTGATGGTATAGTAATTGGATGGTATAGTAATTGGTATAGCATTGTGGTGCAGCCTTGGATACAGGCTGTTGGGGCAGTAGGCATTGAAGCTCTTCTTTGACAAAGCTACCATTGCGCTAAGCTGCAAGGACTGCAAGAACCTGGCAGCTGGGAGAAGTGGGCAGGCTGGTTCAGGTACCAGGACCAGCACATACATAGGTGGAGGTGAGGAAGCATCAGTACAATAATGGGCATTTGTTTGACAAAGACTTTGAGGGGGGAATGGTTCTCCTGGATTTACAGATGAGTAACTTAATTCAACATAAATGCTTTTCTCCTTAGTGTGGAAGTGTGCATGCATGCATGTACATGTATGTACATGTGTATGTGTGTCCAAGGTAATTTTTTCCTCTTTGCATTTGGTTATTTTATAATCTCAAAAGCTAAATAAAACACTTATGCATTGAACACTGTAGAGAAAGAATTATGTTTCAAAAGCACCAGTGTTATGATTTTCATGAAGAAAGTTTATTTTAGCAGATGATCAATTATGTTTTGCTAATGAGTGATTTACATTCTAAGAATAATTTACATCTATTTATGTATAAGTCAGCATAACTCTCTATAATCAGGACTTAATCATTTCACCTAGTCGAGTCTCAGGTTCCTGGCCAGAAAGAACTTTGGCCCTGGTCTCAGTTGGTTGGGTGTTGTCCTGCAAACCAAAATGACCCAGGTTTGATTTCAACTCAGGGCACATGCCTGGCCTGAGGGTTCGGTCCCCAGTCAGAGTGTGTGCAAGAAGCAACTCATCAATATTTCTCTCTCACACCAATGTCTCTCTTTCTCTCTTTCTTCCTTCCTTCCCCTCTCTCTAGAATCAATAAAAAGAAAAAAATTTTAAAAAGAACTTTTAAAAATATATTTTATTGATTATGCTATTACAGTTGTCCCATTTTTACCTCTTTATTCCCCTTCACCCTGCACATCCCTCCCACCCACATTCCCACCCTTTAGTTCATGTCCCTGGGTCATACATATAAGCTCTTTGGCTTCTATATTTTCCATACTATTCTTTACCTCCCATTGTCTTACCATTTATGCTACTTATTCTCTGTAACTTTCCATTTACCATTTATGCTACTTATTCTCTGTAACTTTCCCCCGTCTTTCCTTTCCCACTCCCCTGCTGATAACCCTCCATCCGATCATTTCTGTGATTCTGTTCCTGTTCTAGTTTTTTGTTTAGCTTTTTTTTTCTTTGTAGGTTCAGTTGTTAATAGCTGTGAGTTTCTTGTCATTTTAGTGTTCATATTTTTTATCTTCTTTTCTTAGATAAGTCCCTTTAACATTTCATATAATAAGGGCTTGGTGATGATGACCTCCTTTAACTTGACCTTATCTGGGAAGCACTTTATCTGCCCTTCCATTCTAAAGGATAGCTTTGCTAGATAGAGTAATCTTGGATGTAGATCCTTGCCTTTCATGATTTGGAATACTTCTTTCCAACCCCTTCTTGCTTGTAAGGTTTCTTTTGAGAAATCAGCTGATAGTCTAATGGGAACTCCTTTGTAGGTAAGTGTCTCCTTTCCTCTTGCTGCTTTTAAGATTTTCTCTTTCTCTTTAATCTTGGCTAATGTAATTATGATGTTCCCTGGTGTGTTCCTCCTTGGGTCCAACTTCTTTACGACTCTGAGCTTCCTGGACTTCCTGGAAGTCTATTTCCTTTGCCAGATTGGGGAAGTTGTCTTTCATTATTTGTTCAAGTAAGTTTTCAGTTTCTTGCTCTTCCTCTTCTCCTTCTGCAACCCCTATGATTTGGATGTTGGAATGTTTAAAGATGTTCTGGAGGTTCCTAAGCCTCTCCTCATTTTTTTGAATTTTTGTTTCTTCATTCTGTTCTGGTTGAATGTTTCTTTCTTCTTTCTGGTTGACACCATTGATGTGAGTCCCAGTTTCCTTCCTGTTACTCTTGGTTCCCTGTACATTTTCCTTAGCATATTTCACTTAGCATAGCCTTCATTTTTTCCTCTAATTTGAGACCATATTCAACCAATTCTGTGAGCATTCTGATTACCAGTGTTCTGAACTGTGCATCTGATAGGTTGGCCATCTCTTCATCGCTTAGTTGTATTTTGTCTGGAGCTTTGATCTGTTCTTTCATTTGGGTCATTTTTTTTTCTCCACTTGCCTGTTACATAGTAAGGGGCAGAGCCTTAGTTGTTCCCTGGAGTGGGGCAACCTACATTGCCATGTTGAGATGCTGTATGTGGTGGAGGGATCTGTGAGGGAACAATGCCACTTGCTCTGCTCTCTGCTAGTTTTCAGTCACTTCCCCTGCTACCCACAATCAAATTGGGCCCTTCTGGTGCTGATTCCTAGGTGGGTATGTTTGTATACATTCTAGGACCCTGTGGGTCTTTCCAGTGAACCCTCCTGTGAGGCTGGGAGTTTCTCCAGCTGTCACCTCAACCCCCACAGGTGTTTTCTGTCAGAGGCTTTGAGGCTTTATTTCCCTGTACTGTAACCCTGGGTTGCATGGTCTATCTTGGTCCCCAGTTGTTCCTCCCAGTTAATCTGCATGTGAATGTGAGACTGCCCAGTCCTCCAACCACTGCCTTGCTGTGAGTCCTCCAACCACTGCCTTGCTGTGAGTCCTCGCCATCTGGCTGCCTATCTTGGTTGCCCATCTCTGCCCTGCCTACTGGTCTAGATGAATGTTTCTTCTCTAACTCCTTGGTTGTTGGACTTCCACACAGTTCTATTTACTGGCAGTTCTGGTTGTTTTTTGTTTCTCAATTTGTTGTTGTCCTTCTTTTGGTTGTATGAGGAGGCACAGTATGTCTACCTACACCTCCATCTTGGCTGAAAGTCTCAAAAAAAAACAACTTTGAAGTGGCTTAGAAACTATGGGTTTCTGTAAATTATTCTTCCTCTAGAGAATGGTCCTGTTACTCAGGGTGGTGTCCATAAACAAGGAGAGTGGGGCAGAATCAGGGGCTGAGGCGATTACTACTGGGACACTCTGGAGGTTCCTTGGGCTGTATTACCTTGGGGGTCTGAGACAGTGGCCTGCTTGTAGCTGACCCTCACCCAAAGTCACATTTTTGGAAGAGAACATTTTTCATTTAGAGAACATTTCATGTCATTTAGTGATGTAGAGGAAGTTTGTGACTGTTCTTTGTATGTGTATGTGTGTATGCACATGCATACCTATATGTATATACATATACATACATATATAAGCCATAGAATCCATATATCTAAAATATTATTAAATACATATTTAATGTATATTAAATTTATTTTTACATTTACAGAGAAGTGCCCTAGATCAGTGTCTCCCTACCTTGGCTGCATATTAAAATCACCTAGAGGATTTTTACAAATCAGGATGCCCAGGCTGTACTCCAGTTGTCTGGATGGAACCCAGGCATCATTATTTTCTTTCATGCTCCAAGTGAGAATGATATGCCCTAGATGTCACATCATTTGTTAAAACATACTTTTCAAGGTGTCATGATTAAGAAGCATTTCATAGAAGATTATACAGATGTAAGAATGGATCAGATGCTCACCTAAGACTCTCAGATGCATATTATTTTTGCCTTCATTAATTTAAGGCCTTCATTAATTCAGCAAAGAAACAAGCAATCAGACATAAAATGATAAAATGTCAGTGAAAGGTGCTATAAACAGAAAAAACAAACAACATGGGAGGGAGAGAAGAAAGACAGAGAAGTGTGTGTGTACATGCACACATACTGGTATGTATTCACACTTGAGCAAAGATGTTCTTTTTTATTTTTTAATAGAATACTCAGGGAGGACTATGTTATAACGGTGGTATCACCAAACTGTAAAGGGAAGAAAGGACTATTTAACTCACTGTAGAGAAGTAATTAGTAGCTATTTGGGAAAAACAAGTGAAGTTGACCTGATCTACATACCTGACAGGAACATTATATGTTAATGGATAAAAAAATGAAATGTAAAAACAAAACAAAACAAAACAACTAAGCCATAACAATGAAGAAAATACAGATAACTATCTGTCTGACTACTGAGGGGAAAAGAATGTTCTAAATGTTAAAGTAATGGAAAAATCACAAAGCAAAGGAATTGACAGAGCAAGGGTTTGACTGCATAAATATATAATCCTCCATATGTTAAAAACATCAAAAGAGGAATTAAAAGGTAAACTAAACAACAGGTTGTAAAAAATACTAAACATCTAAAAATGGAACAAAAGGCATAAAAATAGTTCATACACATGGAAAGAAAAACAGCCAAAAAATACATGACTAATATTTTCCTTTCTTTACACCAATAGAAATTTAGGTTAAAAAAGCTATTAATACATTGTAATAATTTGAATATCTAATAAAATTTAAAGAATGAGAATGCTTAATGGTTCCTTGGGTGTGGTTGTTATATACCATCTTGCACTATTTAGGAGGTATGAATTATTACAACATTTCTGGAGTGCTGTTTGGCAGTGTGTATTTATCATGTTTAAAATGTATTCTTTGTATTGTCATGTAGCTGACATCAAGAAAATAATAAGAAATATTTAAATTGATATTTATTATTTTCCAGATACTTCGTATAATAATTCATGGAACTGTCACACCAGCTCTGGATGGTAGTATTGTTATTTCCTTTCATGGATAAATAAGTTAAGAAACATAGGAGAAAGTTACTTGCTTAACATTATTCAGCTGCTAAAGAGTAGAGTGAGAATTTAAATCTAGCCAGTCTGGCAATAGACACCCTGACTTGACTCACATGAGAAGGTGGCTATGGGGGTTTTATAATAAAATACATGCTATAAATTATAATTTACCCATGTGAAGGAATATTACATGACAATTAAAATGATGATGACAAAGATTTTTGTGATGAGGAAAAATGCTCACTTATGAAGTTGGGAATGCAGTATATGAAATTACTTAAACAGCATCTTAGATATTTGAAAATATATAAAGTTCAAGAAAACATTCTAAAATATTATACATGTTGATATTATATTCTTCTTTTCAATCTTCATTTTATATATTTGCTACAATTGGCATACATTACTTTAGATAGAAGAAAACTTTTCAAAATAAAGAAGAAAGAAATTAAAATATTATGTAAAGGGAAAATGTTATCAATATCAAACATAACACTAAAAAATCCTTAGAATTTCTGCATGCAAGAAATTTAATATTTGTATTTCTGACATGTACTTTATAATTAAGGTATCTATGATATTTCTCAGAATAACTTTTCTTTTGGAAATAAATTTCATAATTTAATATCTTCATCTTTTAAATCCATAATAAGTATGTCAATAATTTTATATATACATATACATAGAGCGGTACAAATATCAGCTAATTTGTATACTGGAATCTTAACATGTTTCATATTGAAACTCAGAGTTAAATCATCAGAATGATGAGTTATCTCATAATAACTTCATCTCTTAGCACACCTTGAAAATTAAAACAAAACAAAACTCTCAAACCAATAAACCAGCAATGCTCTTTACAAGGTTCTGTCAATCTTAACCAGAGGAAATAACACTTTTTATTCTACCCTAGATAAGAGAATAGATAGTTAATAGTAAAATGTGTGTGAATGTGTGTGTGGGGAGGTTGATTTCAAACCACAGAAGTATTCTAATTTCGTTATGAACAGTTGGTACTTTTCATACATACTTATCCCTTTTGTCTGTACATTATTGATTATTATCTCCTAGAAACTACATCAAATGTTTGGTGATGTTATTTATAAAGTTTGATGTAAATGGTTTGGCAACTTAGTCATTAAGTTTTATCTGGGATTTGTCCCTTTTTGTTTAGTATGTAATTGGTAAGATAATTATTTTGGGCTGAGTGGCTACTTTAATCACCCAGTAATGTTGAAGATAATCATTCTTACCATCTCCATCTTGGAATGAGCAAATAGATTTAGAGACTTTTAAGTAACTTGCATAGCTTGTCAAGGTGCAATCTGGAATGCTGACCCAGGTATATATGTCCCAGAAACCAACTTCTTTCCATGATGCTGTGCTTCCTCAATTCTGTAAACCTAGGTGTCTGGTATAAAAGTTAAATGGACCTGAACAACAATAAAATAAAAAGGTAGCATGGAATTGTTTATGAAGAATTCAGACCTGGTATATGAGCCCCAATGAACACTTCTCGCCTATTCTAAATAGGTCTTCTAAATTTGTAATTAGTAGGATAAAAGTTGGGTTGAAGTCAGATTGAAATTCAACACAGATTTGAGTTCATTGAGTCTGTTTCTGTCTGGAGTATATGCAATTCCCACTTTGTCTCTCCATTTTCCTAAAATAAACACATGGGCATGTGAGTGTGGAATCATGCACACATATCCACATGGCTATTTCTCATTAAGAAGTATTGATGACCGCTTGCTAAGTGCTAAGCATTGTGCTGGACTTTAGTGATGCAGTTATGCAAAAAGTATACTTAGTTCCTAACTTATGAAACTTACATTCTGAAGCAAGAAGATGCATGAGAGAAATAATTACTGGATCTCTTTCTCTCTCCCTCCCTCCTATAGGAGTCTGTCAAACATATCTCAGTATATTGCAGATTGTCTATTCATAGAATAACAATTTCCCACAAATACTGTTGTCCTCAACTTTGTTCTTGGAGGCAACCTTTAGTAGACCAGGCCTAAAATACACCTGGCTCTCTTGCATTAGAAAACTGCATTACAGCCCTGGCTGGCGTAGCTCAGTGGATGGAGCGTGGGATGGGAACCAAAGTGTCCCAGGTTTGATTCCCAGCCAGGGTACATTCCTGGGTTGCAGGCCATAGCCCCCAGCAACCGCACATTGATGTTTCTCTCTCTCTCTCTCTATCTCCCTCTCTTCCCTCTCTAAAAATAAATAAATAAATAAATAAATAACCAAAACTACATTACTAGGGATTTCTTCTGGATGCTGAAATTCATTACCTTGAAATTTTGTTAATTGTACTTGGCTGAAAGATTCAAGAAGAATTGGTGACCACATTAAGGGATATGAAAGTATCCTGTACCATTTCTAAAGAATATCCTGTACCATTTCTTCTGTGTGCCAGAAGATTTTTAAAACATCTTCATAAGACAGGTATACTTTTATTTGGAAGTTTTAGCTGAACCTGTCTTATTCTGTTTTCCAGAAAAGCTTGTAGAAGTAGAATCCTAAATATGCATTGTGGACAACTACCCCTGACACTTTTGGTACTTATGTTTATAAGCACTTCAGGTAAGTAATATTCACAAACATATGTCATTGGTAGTCTAGAGGGAATATCAAGGTTTTGATTTTTTTATGTGGAAGTGACCATTGAGGTTGCTGAATTCATTAAAATTAGTGATTTTAAATTTACTTTAGAGGGTTGCCATATTTTTGGTGTCTGGCATAGAGAATAAAAATTGATAGTGATGAGATCAAATAATGAATCACATGGGTTTACTGAAATGGAAAAGATTTGGCCTTCTGAGTTTATGTAGAGAAAGCAGGATGTAAAACTTACATCCTGAAATAAGTTACATTTGTCTGAGATGAAAATCTGCTTTATCCTGTTTAAAACCAAATAGGTAACATCTGTCTTTATTACTGATTTTTAGAAAATTTTACACAACTTATTTCCTTCCCAAAATGAAGGCAAAGATCCCTTTTAATTCATGAAATGCAGGGCAGGATGTAAGTGGAAATACCTTGTAGATCTTAAGAAAAATTTTAGAGTTAAAACAACTATACTTCTTAGGGTAGGGCAGACAAAAAGGTTTTATACCAGGTCAAATACCAATTTTAATTTATTAGCAGTGACTACTTGATGACTTTTATTGAGAAAAATTCTGAGGCCTCATCGGGATTCTTTGGAGCAGAGTTCTATGATGGATTAGCAAGGTTTTTTCCTGGCTATTGAAGAGAAAGCAGGGCAACAAATACTGATCTGCCTGATTCTATTATCTAGGAAAAGTAAACATGTGAACTCATATCCTCTACTTCAAGAATGGTTGTTGAGATGGTGGAGTGAAGCTACTGATATTTTCAAGTACTGATACAGGTTCAATTTGGGGATATATTTACTTAAATAGATCTATGTATTGTTGAGATCCACAAAATGCAATACTACCCAGATATTGAAGAAGGTAGATTTGCTCTTCAGAATGATATGTAATGATCTGTCAGAAACTGCTGAGTGCAAAAGCAAGGTGTAGGACAGTGTGCATCATGGATCCTCCACTCTGTAGATATACACTAATAACCTTGCTCCTAGGTTACAATAAAAACATGTTTCAGGCTCAGAAATAACCATACAATCTATTTCATTAGGTTGCTAAGGTCCCAGCTCTCTGTCCTTTAGATGTTTGAAGAACACCTTCCATGGAGGGTTTACTCTAGGACAGGGGTCCCCAACCTCTGGGCTGCATGCACCTAGTACTGGTCCAGCCCTGTTAGGCGCCAGGCCACAGAACTGGAGGTGAACTTGAATGTAATGTGCTTGAATCATCCCCAAACCATCACTCCATCCCTGATCTGTGAAAAATTTTCTTCCAGAAAACTGGTCCTTGGTGCCAAAAAGATTGGGGACTTCTATTCTAGGAAGCCGTGACCATATTCTACATGTAGGGTTCATTTAACCCAGTTAAAGCTGGATGACAACATCCCATTATGTCCAAACTCAAGACAATTTGTGGGAGTGTCTTTTGTATAGATTCCATATACCTTGAACTCAACATTTCTACAATAAAAATCACTTTTTAGTCAACAAATGCTGTAATGTTAAACATGAGTTGATATCTGTAGCCATTAGCTGCCTGGGGAATGGGACTTTTCAACTGACAACCATCTACCCCTGGAGAGAATGTATTCCAGGTTAAGCTTCTTCAAATGATAACTACCTCTAAAGAGAAATGAGTCATATATATGTCTATCAAAAACATAGGATGGGTGTTTATAAAAGCCTTTTAAAGATTTGTCAAGGCCTGGAAATAACCCAATGTTCAGCATCAAAAGAATGGATAAACAGTCAAATGCCAGCACAATTGATACTACAATATGTAACTATGAAAAAAAGAACTAATCATTGCTGCATGCAGCCACATTGATGCCTACATAGACATAATGATACATGAAAGAATCCAGAGCATGTATTCTATGGTTTGCTTACTTTTTTATATGTATATATGTATCTCTAAAACAGAAAAAATTAAAATGTCAATAGTCTGCCATCTCTTTGGGTGTCAATTAAAGCTAACACCCAGATTTATACATGTATCACACCTTCCATGTTGAAATATTGAAATGTAAAATAGAGATTCTATAACAAACACCACACATAAAGTTTATCCTCCTGTGCTTTGCGTATAATAGCTTTAAATGTTAACATCCATGTTTTGAAAGAATGCTTCTACCATCTGAACCACTTCCTCTTTACATTGTGGTTAACAACATTGAGATAAAACCTGACTGTTTCTTTCAGAAATAAACCCTAACTCCAGAAAAGACAGTTTTCCCATGCCCTCAGGGAAATGCTTTACTCAATTTAAGGATTATCATTCTCAAAATGAGTTTAAAGGGCATCTTGGAGCCACCCAAGGACAGAATATAGGAAAGGTCCATTTATTTATGCTGACTATGAATTATCAGAAATACAAAAGGAGGTGAATGATGACCCTGTGTAACTGAAGGGATCTGATAAATTTTGAAATCCAGAGTTCCTGGGTTAGCTGAAAGACAGAGGTGAGGGGTATGGAGAGAGAGGGGGACGGAGAAAGGGAGAGACTGGAACTCAAAGAGGGGGAGTGACAGATAACCAAGTTTGGAGTAATATGAATTAATTCTTTATTAACTACCTGGTAGAGAGAGAGTAAATTTGCATGCACTCTAAGCTACATGGAAGCATCTTTAACCACCTCCATACCTACCTAGGGAATGGATGACTGCGTAGACTGTCAGAGTGCAAGATAGGTGAGACTTATGATGCAAATGAAAAGCTCTGAAGTCTCTAGGTTTTTGTTTTCTTTTCTGTGGAGACTTCTCTGCCAGGGATGTTTTTGGAAAGGCACGGCAACACTGTGACTTTTGTGGCTTCCCTTACAAGGAAGTTGTCATGTGTAACATTTTCTTTTAAAAGATTACATTACATTTATCTATCTTCTAGCTATGGTAGATTAAGAGGTTGGGAGAAGCTGTTGAAAGCTTTGTCCTCATTTATGTTCAGAAAGTGCTGTAGTGTTGGAAAATTGTCTATGTTACTCTGTGTTTGATTTTTTTTATTGTTCTAATTTTTTTAAGAAACCTGTACTCTACGTCCTCATATTACTGCTGTTGAAGGGGAACCTTTCTATTTGAAATATTGCTTATCTTCATCTGAGCATGAGAATGAGCCAACCACCATAAAATGGTACAAAAGCAATGAATCACATGGACTTGTTGAGTTAAGCTCAAGCAGTTCACCCAGAATTACTTTGCATGATTATGTTCTGGAGTTTTGGCCAGTTGAGTTGGATGACAGTGGATATTACTTTTTCCAAATGGGGTAAGTGTCCTTTCTCTTTGTATTAGTGTATTTCAAAGCATTCCATGACTTTGTTCAGCAAATCAAGTATACAGTAATCTGGAAGGTAAGATAACCCATAAATTTTTCTCCCCAACCTGGAATAAATGCTTCATTATTCAAAGATTAAATTTCATGTTACCCCTGTGTTTATATTCTTAGTGATCTTAACAAAATGAAAATAATGAAAGGAGATTACCTTTAAATGATTTCTTTTAGGAGATTCTTACCAAAGATAAGTGAAGATTGAATGAATTTCATTTTAAAATTCAGCCGTTCCTGTTGTCTAGCACTACTGGTCAAGTAAAACAAATGGCTAGGGCTTCATGATATGAACATGTAGTGAAGGGGGGCATGTCTACTTCCTGGGTGATGTCCTTAGTCTGGACAGTGGAGTTGGAATTGGTATGAATACATCTTAGTCTAGTTTTCAAGGGTTTGTTGAGGGCCAGGTGGTGGTGCTAGTGAAGGATTTGTATGTGTGGCAGCCAGTCACAAAGCTATAATGAGAGCCAGTGAGAGAGGAAAGCACAAAGTTTCTTTGCACAGTCTTCTCATGACAACCCAAGACTGTCAGGATGCTCAGAATCAGAGTCATAGTTCCATGAAATGAGAACCACTAAGTAAATGTATCAACAATTGTTACTGAACTTCGTTTTTTGTTTTATTTTAATTGGTGTTCAAGTACAGTTTTCTGCCTTTTCCTTGGTTCTTTTCATATGTTGTTTGATAAAATAGGGAAGGAGTAACAGGGAGAAGGAATTTTCTATGTGATGGACTGTTAGCAAGAACATAGATGATAGGGTTATCTGGTACTTTTGTGATGTTATATATGTACTTATCTATCTGTGCATGTATGTACTTTATAGATATTTGAGACCAACTTGTAGAAAATAGCTCAGGTTCAGGAGAATGGTTATGATGTCTAATTCAGTAGGTTTTTTCATGAGCATCCCTGAAGTGAGTTCTGATCATTATCAATAGTACCGTTAAAAGTAAAGTGAGATATCATAGTGAAACCTTAATATCACTCTTATGGTTTTACTGAATGAGGTCACTTTGGTTTGTTTTTATATATAGGAACTCCCAGGAGTCCGAGAGAAAATCAAGAACTCTTTTTTCAATCAATAGATTTTATTTTATTATTTTATTTTTTTATTTTTTAAGATTTTATTTATTTATTTTTTAGAGAGGGAAGGGGGGGGGAGAGAGAGAGAGAGAGAGAGAGAGAGAGAGAGAGAGAGAGACATCAATGTGCGGTTGCTGGGGGTCATGGCCTGCAACCCAGGCATGTACCCTGACTGGGAATCGAACCTGCGACACTAGTTCGCAGCCCGCGCTCAATCCACTGAGCTATGCCAGCCAGGGCTTGGATTTTATAATGAATTTTTAGAACAGAAGATTCCAGAAATGGGGTACAACTGAGTCTTTTTTATAGTAAGATAGAATGAATATTCCCTTTGGGGTAGAGAGAAAGAACCTCTCCCTAATCTTGATTGAAAAAAGGCATGATGTAAATGAACAAAGTATTCTGGACAGGGCAGAGAAAGCAAACTGAGGGGAAGAGCCAGTCATCTACTAACATTCCTTGCAGACAGATAGGGGCAGAGGGCATTAACTGTCTCTGATATGGAAGATAGAGAATACATCCTGCACTAGGAAAAAAGTGGGATCATGAGACAGAAGTAGGTTATCAGAGGTGTGCAGGGACAAGGAAAAGGCTGGGAGAGGAGGGAAAAACCAAGGTGGCTTACTGAGGCTAAGATGATAAACTCTGAAGGGTGCTGGAGACTGATGAATAAGATGAGACTAAAGTAATGATGGAAAGAGCAGCCTTAACAATGGTTTTGAAAAAACAAAAGGTAGCCTGCATGAGAGCAGGTAGTTTTGGACACCTGGGAACCTTGAAGATACAGACTTTTTAAAATATAGTGCAACTCTGTGTTTGTGTGTATGTGTGTACACATGTGTCTGTGTGTACTAATTTAGGTGAGCAAGGCTTTGTGGTTTCATGTGAGATTCATCAGTGACCAGACCCTACTCCTGGAATTGTCTCCTTAGAACCTATTTCCTTAATTTTTCAGGATTCTATTGCAAGGATCAAGTATCTCTGGAGACAAACACACTAATCCTGTAGGGAAAATCACTTTGTCAGATCAAAGTTTAAGGAGGAAATCCACCAAGAAGGGAGTGGATACAGGAGAGTTTTTGATGAAATGGTAAAGAAATAAAGGCAAAGAAAAAAAGCACCTGTGAAGCCTTTGTCATGTTCTAGGATGACAAGCAGCAACATTGACTTAGTAAGGGGTGTGAGAAAAGTGGGCTAGAGTTTCTTAAATCCCTTCCATGTGTCATCAGGTGTGGTTCTTGCAACCAGGATCACTGGTCCTGACAGGGATGTGGATGGTCACTGCTTTGAATCCCTTGGCCTTAGCTTCACACCAGTCTTTGAGATCCTCCTAGCACACAGCATGCTGCCTTTTTCAGCATTCTGGGGCAGTGCCTTGGATGTGGAGACATTCTTCCAGTTAGTATATGTTGAGTGTTAGGACTCAGGATTGCAGAGGTAGAAGGCAATATGGCCTGATAAGTTGGGAATATGCATGCACTTCATTCTTTGTAAACAACTTGACAGAAAGACTGGAAATATATCTTTTTCCAGTACAGCAAGGCCCAAGTCAGAGAAAAACATTACAGTGTTTAATATCTTTAAACCTTTATTTCATAGAAATGATACTCATGAATGGAGATTAAATGTCATCAGAAGAAATAAACACAGCTGTTTTGCTGAAAAACAAGTAATTAGTATAACTGTGGAAGTTAAACGAGCTTTGCAAATACCCTGCGGTGAACATAGTTACTATAGAAAACTAGTCAACAGAACGTTGTTATATAAGGTAATGCTTTTAAAATATTTTAACTTAAGACTTGGTAGAAAAGACAAAATTCCAAAATGAGGGTCTGGTGGCTATGGAGCATTTTGTTCTTATAACATGTGAGTTGTGTGACCTTACACAGCCAGTGGCTGTCTCTGAGCTGGGTGCCCTCTAGGGTTGCTGTAAGGAGTTCTGTACACAAGGCATGGAACACAGTTCTTGACCGATATTAATGTTCCATAAATGATAATGGCTTCCTCTCTTTTATCCATCCTTCATTTTTCTTCTTTTTTAATAAATTAATTTTTAGGAATACTAATTGAAAGATTTTCACTTTCTTATACCACATATATTTAAAATTTTAAATTCTGTTATATATTTTTTATTATATTACTTCATTTTATAAAATTGGGAGATAGAAAAATGAATAATGAAGGTGGAAATCATAATTTCACTGGCCAGAGACTGTTCTTTTTTTTTCTGCATAAACATCTACTTTTAAAAAGTGGTATTATTTAATGGCTTATTTTGTTCCTTTTTTTCCCTTTATTCACTAAAAAGTATATTATGATCATTCCTCCACATCTTTAAACATTCTTTCAACCATGGGATTCCCTTGTGTATATACTTGTATTTGACTAATCCCCTGTCATTGAACATTTGTTAGTTTCTACTTTTGGCTATTATTTATAAGGCTAAAACTCTTAGCATGTACATATGATTTTATCATCTAACCAAATCCCTAAAAGTAGAATTATTGGATCAAAGGCTATGGGCATGTTTATGGCTTTTGCTACACATCAAACTCCTCTCTAGAAGTAGACCAGTTTAAAGCCCTCTTTCCCTATGCAGCCGTTACTGGAAGGAATACTCTAGAACATGCAAAACTTCTGTAACCCTTAGTGTGTTTCTCTGTATTTCTTTTCTTAATAATAAATTAAACATTTTTATATATTTGTTGCCTCTTGATATTACTTTCTTCTGGATTGTCTACTTTCTTCTGTTGATGCACCTTTTACTTGAGTTGTAAGAGCTCTTTTAGACAATACTATAGAGATTGTACATACATATTTATAATATATGCACTCACATGTATATTACATATATACATACATTTATGCACTCACATGTATATTATATATACAGATTTATATATACACTCACACATATATTACATACACACATGCACATATATACTTGTGTGTATATTATATATACACATGCACATATATACTTATGTATAATATATATCCACATGTGTTTATACACTCACATGCATATCATATACACATGCATTTATACACACATACACATGCATTTATACACACATGTATATTACACACACATACATATATATACTCACATATATTTTTATATATGCAAGCATTTATATGCTCAATGTATACAAATATAATATGTAAAAATATATAAATAATATGTATGTACTCACACAACACAAATTATATTCTTCCCTTAGAAGAACAAACCTGAAAAACATGACTTAGTTGTGGAAACTTTGAAGAGCTATGAGAGAGGGTGGTCTGAACAGAATACCTTGGGAAAGTTGAAACTCTGATCCTTTTGCTTGAACACTGTTTACTTGTGATTTTTCAAGGACTGCTCTTATGCAAAGTATTTTCTAAATGTCTTGAGTCAGTCCCTGGTTGACTTGACTCCATTTCCTGTCAAAACTGTACATGTTTGACAGTATATATATAAATTTGAGGTCATTATACCAGGTTTTAAGAAATCCCAACCTGTAGATAGTTTAATTTAGAAAACAAATGCATAAAGGATATTTTTAGCTAGAGAGTTGACCTCAGGTTTAAGTATTTATAGCCTATTTACAGATCATGACCTACCTGAGGAGAGGGGAGCCAGAAAGCCAAATTAGTAAACAATTGATTGGAAAAATGAAGGAATGATTGAATGAAAATGATTGGAATAATTTGATATTTTAATGGCTTGGAAAAATCAGTCTGGGTTTATAAAAAATTGGGGTATACAGAAACAATTTACTGATATGAGGTACATATGTAGAAGCTTCGCAAGCCCATTCTAAACCACCTCAAGGCCTGGCCCCAGTTGCTACCAACTATGGCAGACTTAAGAGGGAATTCTGTGGGCAGTAGTTTCTCCTCATTTGGTATTTGCAAGAACAATGGCATCAGGATTAGCAGTTTATTTCCCATTTTCCCCATCTGGTTCTTAGATTGCTTCATAACCTATCTGTGGGTGATTGATGGCTGGATTGAATAAAGTGTCTTTTTTGTTTTTATCAGTTCCTGTGACTTAGGTGGAAATTTGAGAGAGATGTTTGTGTGTCTATAGATTTGAGTATTCTTGATGCATTTCTAATCAATCCACTGTCTTCTGGTAGAACACATCATGTGAGTGAGTAGTCTGCTAAGTGCTCAGCTCTGTGGATAACTGCTCTCATACTCACCATCCACCCCCAGGATAGTGTTAGATTGAAAGTGTTATGAAATGGAATTGTGTAGAAAGTTTTGACCCAAGCAGAGATTTTTTTTGTAGTATGTTGTTTTCTTTCTCCCTCTCTCCTTTTTTCTTTCTTTCACTCTGTCCCTTCATCTCTCTCTTTTTTCCCTGTCCCCCTTCTTTTCTCTCTCCCCCTTCCCCCACTTTGTCTCTGTAAAAGAGAGTTTAAAAGAAAATGATGAAAGCAGCTATAGTGTTCCCAACATTCTACTCCCCATCATGTAATATTAATAATTATAGTGATCATAACAGTAATGGGACTATATTTTGTTTTTCCAGTAAAGGCAGTGCCAAATCACTGGGACATTTACTCAGAAATTGCTGGTTTTCTTTTAGTTTCCCTTTTTTCTCTGAAGATCTTTAACTTTAAAATTTGAATGATTGTAATATGATACTTATTTTACTTAAAATATTTTAACTTGTTATTCTTATAAAACAGAACTGTGAAAAGATAGAGAAGAATAAAAACCCATCCTTTCGGAAGAATGCAGAGCTCAATGATCGGGGATATTACACCTGCGTGTTTTTCCTTTATCATAATGGAAAATTATTTAATGTCACCAACACCTTCAATATAACAATAGTTGGAGGTAAGAGAAATTTTATAATTGGGAGGAACCAAATGTATCTTAGTAAAACAGATTATTTTCTTCTAAAGTAGTACAGGGAGCCAGAGGCAACTTAGTTGGAATTGGGACCACATTATTAGTTCAAATAAAAGGGTCAAAACCATTTTGGCATTATTCACTACGCTTAAAGATTTTTTTTGGGGGGGGGCAGTAATTAAAAGTCCATAAAGATCAACCTCCCATGAATCAGCTATCTTATTTGGTGTTTGAATATATTGTGGGGGCATTTACTATTAAGCATATGCTTTCACTCAATAAATATTCATTGAAAATGTCTGCATATAATAAACTACTGAACACTGGGAGGGAAGGGAAGCAGGGAAATATGAGATGAGGTAAATAATACACTCTCCTCAAAGACTTTGATTATAGTCAGGAGAGGTGATAAGCCACATAGAGGTACCATAGTACAGTTGACCCTTGAACCACATAGGGGTTAGGGATGCTGGTCGCTTTCCCTCACTGCTCCCCAACACATACTGTGAAAAATCTGGGTATAGTTTTTGGTTTTCCCCAAACTTAACTATTAATAGCTAGCTCTTGATAAGAAGCCTTACTGATAACATATATTTTGTATGTTATATGCATTGTTCTCTATTCTTACAATGATGGTACAGAAAAATGTTATTAAGAAAATCATAAAGAAGAAATACATTTATAGCAGTTATTGAAAAAAATATGCATATAAGTGGTCACGTGCAGTTCAAACCTGCGTTTATGAACCTGGAATCGTCTATGAGGGAGTGAGAACAGGTTCAGGAGGTGCTGTCTGAGCTGGGTCTTAAAGACTGACCATGGTAGATGGCAGGAGGGCATGCTTGGGACAGAGCACTCTGAAAAGAGAATATAATGGGCACAGGTGTGGTAGTGGAAAGGGACTGTACATTTTGGGCTGACAGCTATTAATCTGGTTTATCATGAACCCAGACTCTACATAATGGAAAAACTGAAGCCTGGGTTTTAGAGTGATGGAGACTCTAGAAGTAATTTAATTAAACCTCACTCAGTGAAGATTTCCTTCATATGGTATCACTGGATCATGCAGTCACTTTTTGAGAACTACCATGGAAATTACCAAACTACACAGGTACAGATTTTAATATTTGATTGTTAAGAGTCATTTTTCCCATTGAGTCTAGTATGCCTTCATGAAGTTTCTCTTTAGTAACTCCACAGATTAAGCCTGGTCTCCTCTTAAAATGACAGCTCCTTCAAGTATTTGAAGATAGGTGGCTTAGGATATTAATCCTAAACATTCTTTTCCACAATCTAGTAAAACTCTTGTGAAGACTCATTCAACAAAATGGTGGGCTCACAGTTACTAGAGCTACTTTGCTTTGGCATCATTTTTTCCTGTTCACTTTATCCATCCACATACAAAGCTATAGTCCATATATTTCTAATGGATAAATTACCAAAAACTTAGTGTCTTCAAAAACACAAATTTACTATTTAATGGTTCTGAGGGTCAGAAGTCTAAAAATGTGTTCTCTGGGTTAAAATCAAAGTTTTACCAGGATTGCATTCCTTCTGGAGATTTTAGAAGAAAGTAGGTTTCCTTGTCTTTTCCAGCTTCTAGGGACCACCTGCATTCATTAGCTCCTGCCACTTTTCCATCTTCAAAGCCAACAGTGTAACATCTTAAGATTTCTCTCTTACCTTTGCTTCCAGTGATTACATTTCTTTTTCTCACTGTGATCCATCTTCTTCCCTCTTGTGAGGACTGGTATAATTACATTGGTGTTAGGAACTTCCCTGCCTGGTTTCAGAAGCTGTAACCCTCCATGGCTAAGGGGGAGTAGTAAGGCCTTAGGGACATAAGCCACTAAGAAGACAAAAACTTATCCCCTCTCTCATATCCCCCTGCTTGGCCAGGGAAGATGACTGGTTAGCCAATGATGGGTAAGATTCTTCAAGAAAAGAACAACCTAAGATAGGCATAGTCATGAAGGGACCATCAAGGAAGGACTTAGGGGACTATAGAAAAGGGGTGATGGACCCTCACCCCTCGGCTTTGTCATAGTCTGAGTCCTTATTCTATCTGTAAGAAGTCTCCTAATCTTTTGGCTGTCTTAATTCCCCTGCCTGACTTAAACCTGAAACAATGCCAGAGGCAGGTGCAGCTCTGTGCAGGAACAGGCGGTTCCCTGGGGCGATCATGCCTAAGAAAGAATACATAAAATGCTATGACACCTGCTTTGCTAAGAATACCCTCAATTTAAATGTTAAGGGTCCAAGCATAAAATGAGTTTGTTTCCCAAAGTTTTATGGCCCTTTGTTGACACTCTATCAATCTGACCCTGATTCAGAATAAGCCCTTATAGTTCTTTGAATGTTATCTGTTCCTTGATCATTACTGCCCAACAATGATTGATGAGCAATTTATGAACTTTATATATACTCCCTGTATTCCTATGCAAACTAAACCTAATAAAAGCCCATTGAGAGAGAGGCTCCAGGCCTTTCACCTCTGAGAGACTGGTCAGTTTTTCCTCCCCAAGCAGATCATGTCTTGGTAGACTTACTCTCATCTGCAGTGGCTGGGGGCGCTCTGTGGGATGGAGCCCGCACACACATTGGGCCCACCTAGATAATTCATGATACTTCCCTCATTCAAAAATCTTTAATTTAGTCATATTGCAAGGTCACTTTTGCCATGTGAGGTTTAACATTCACAAGATCTTGGGATTAGAATATGAATGACTTTTTTCTGGGGGGGGGCATTTTTCTGCCTGCTATAACCCATAACCTGGGAATCCCATAACTAAATTCTGAAACTCAAATATCTTATGTAATATGATGTATATATACACACACACACCTCACATCTCCTGAATTCTTCCATTTTATATTCATATATATGAAATATATATTTATATAAGTATATAAATATAAACATGAAACTATATTTTCATATATGTGTATATTTTATATATTCATATATATTTTCATATATTCATATGTGCATATGAATATATGTATACATATTCTTTAATCTCATATAAATCTCTAGTTGCTTGACACTTCTACTGCCCATACTCTTACCCCATCTATCTTTGCTTTTTGCCCATCAGCTCCTCTCTTGTTTCTCCCTGGAAGGAATAAGAACATCCATTATCAAAAGAGCACTTCCTATAGACCAGAAACTGTACCAAATACTTCAATTGAATCATTTCATACAATCCTCACAATAGCCCTGTGAGCTTGTGATTTTGGGTGAATTAAATATTTATCTGTGCCTCAGATACCTCAAGTAAAATGGAACAGCGCAGGTACCTCCTTCTTTGGGCTGCTTGCACACTGAGTGAGTAAATGTGTATACAGCATTGAGAATGGTGCCAGGGACAGGGCAAGCTCGACTGTTATCATAGTCTCATATTGCCTTGCATTCCCACTCCCTGCTGTATGTGCTATTTTTCTGCCTTATACCCATCTTATTTATTTTGTCTTCTTGGAGGAGGCCAATTGTATCTTTCAGGACTCAGCTCAAATGTCTCTCCTCCTCTGTGTTCCCATGGCTTTTGTTCATATTTCTGATTGCTGTCAGAATTTGGGTCATGTGTCTGTCTCTGGCAGAAGATTGCGAAGCTCTTGGAAAGAGAGGCTTGAACTGAATTCTCTTCCTCATTTTGCAACTCTCATACTTGTGCTTGGCACTTGGTACATAATAAGTGCTCATTACTTGTCTGTTGAGTGAATTACTGGGCCAGCAACACTTCCTTCCATTGTGCCTCATTCAACAAGAAGTCTAGACTTTTAACAACCCTGTCCACTTTCCTTTGGATCTGGTGAAGTTTCCATCATTCTTTTAAACTGTAGAGTTTAGAGTTGAAGTCAATAATTAAGAGGTATCATGACCTATGCTGAGGACAATGGGACTCTGAGCTCACACCTACTCCATGTTGTGTCTTTATTACAGTTCCCTATGGCTATGGATGTGGATCTCTCAGCTACCACGTGGTGAACACAATTGCCTTGAATTACAGTTCTCTTGACTCTCTCCTGGCATCTTCATTTCTTAATCTCTTTCTCTGGTTGATCTGGTGATGTCTCCTCCTACTGCTGACAGTTTGTGTGCTTTAACTTAGGAGCATACTCTGAGGTTATTTTCTTCCTTCTGTTACCTTAAATAGGATTGTACCCTTCACTTTACACCAGACGTACAAACGTGGTGCTGCTCTGAGTTCTCAATGATACATTTCAAGTTTTAGAGATGGATCCAGAGGAAGATAATCAGTAGCAATTTTCCCCATTACACAAAACTATTTTTTCCTTTCCTATTCCTCAGTGCTCTCAGACCTGAGTCAGTTTTTTTTTTGGATCCATTTCACCTCTTCCTGCCTGCCTACCTGAGTTTCAGACTTTCCCAGTGAGTCTGAATCTTAAAGGAACTGGGACATGCTGAGGTTTTACTGCCCTAGTTTCATTCTCAAGTTCTTGCCCACACAGTGCCCTACTCCCCTTTCCACTCTTGACTTGGTAACCCTATGCTTTCTGAGGGAGTTAGGTGTGGGTGCCATACAAGAGCTCCTGAGTCATGTTTTATTCCTCACAATCAGGCATATTCTCCTTGTTCAGCACTTGCAAGCCCCATGAAGGCTGCTCTGGGCATTAGTTTTATGCAAATGCCCCCCAAACACCAGATGTACTGGCAGGGAGAGTGCAGGTCATGGAAAAAGTTGCCAGTGCTGGTAATAGGAGCAACACAAACTTGAATACGTAGCAGTGTCAATGTATGACCACACTTGCTTTCAGTGTTGTACAATTACTTGACACCTTAGTTTGTATTATAGCATTCAGTGATGGGCTGCTGAGGGGATTATTTACCTGCTAAGCATTATGAGATGGGGACGAAAGTGCAAAATATTTATGCACCTCGAGTTGGGGGTCACTGAGGAAGAAAAATAGAGCTGAGCCTGAAGTTGAGGGCACCCTTACAGGGCCAGGACTAAGGTGAGGCATCCAGGGCACACAATTGAAGGGCCCTCCTCTCAGTGTCCTGTGATGGGAGGGTTGCCACCTGAGAGTGAGTTCCTTGCCTACCCCATATGAGTTTTATTCTTGCACCCAAGAGTTGAGGCAGGCATATGGAAGGAATAAGGCAGAATAGAAAGGTACTTCACAGAGACTTTGCATCTTCTAAGTCCTGCAGGTTTGGTTGTCTCCTGGGATGAATGTCTTCTTCTTGCTTTTAGCTGTGGTGAGCAGAAGCCACAGATTGGAAATGAGGGAAAACTAAATTCAATGTGCTTTTTCTAGCAGTATAAACTTTGAAGTTGATGGAAAGTGAAACAACAAACAATATTCACTGCAACCATTATGTAATGCAAATATGACTAAATTGGATATAAAGTGATGACTGTTAGAATCTTCATTACATAGAATAAGTGTATTGTAACAAATGTTTGTTTTAGAGAAGCTCAGAATAATACTAATACACTTTTCTTTTTTTCACTTTTAGGTTATAGTAATATAATCCCAGTTCTTCTTGGACCAAAGCTTAATCACATTGGAGTGGAATTAGGTATATTTTGACATACATATTTTCTGCATTTATGAATGGGGAAAAATGGAGTCTTCTAAGGCTAAATCAGATTCATTATTGACCAATGTTGTATGCATAACATCTTCCATATTTAGTGAAGAGCATTACAAAGCCAGAAAAGCCTGTCATTGTTTGAATGTTCCCATTTTTATAATGGTTAAAATGAACAACCTGGAAGTGCCTATGGTTTGTAGAGTAGGATTTTAGACACATTATTTGTGGTTTTTCTCTAATAGTCTCCATGGTCATTTTTGAAAGTGAAAACTCAGTAAGAATACTTTGGAGAGGTAATTCAGACTTGCATGGTTTGAATATTTGATTAATGAATTTACTTTGAATCAATGGACTGAATTGGCTGTACAATCAGGAATTGTCTAGAGAGGTCTTGATGAATCAACATGTCCTTTCAAAAAGAAAAGGAAGGAAGGAGGGAAAAGAAGAAATTTTCCAGAGGTTAGGAGGGAGGAGGGTAATAGGAAAAAGAAGGGGAACATGCAAGAAGGACCCATGGACAGGGATAATGGGGTGGGAATTGTCAATTAAAAAATTCATATATGTCAAACCAAACGTGTCATATTATTGAAATATGTTATTGAATTAAATCATCCAGCAACTCTGAGGGTTATTATCTCCATTTTATCATTTAAATGACTGAAACTCATAAAGGTTAAGTAATTTTCTAAGATTAAACCACTGAACAGCGGCAGAAGTGGGATTCAAGTGTCTGTTGATTTTTCCAAAGCCCACACCTTTTGACTGCAGCTGGTCCTAGTTGTTTATGACAGGTATACTCAATGTAGCTTGGATACTTTACCATTTATATTTGTGGTTTTCCTCCTTTCTATTTTTTACTGACTTCTGAACTTATCTATTAATTGTCTCATTTTGGGTTTAATTTGCATTTCATTTTTCACTTGTCAACATGGAGAGATGAGAGATAAAATACAGTTATCTTCTCTTGCAGTATGTGCATTTTAAGCTCCAAATTTTCTTATCACTCTTGTAGTTTTTTCTTTCCCATAAGTGTTGGTACAACATACTTTCATTACTATTTATTCAAAACATTTTAAAAACTTTCTCTTATGATTTCCTCTTTCATTTACAAATTGTGTTTCTTACTGTCCAAATAGTTGGGAGATTTTTGTAGCTTTTTTTCTGTAATTGCTGTCCAGTTTAGTTCCATTGTAGTCCAAGATTGTACACTGTATCATTTCAATCTGTTCAAATTTGTAGTGATTTGCTTCAGGATCAGAATATGGTATATTCGATGAATGTTCCAAGTACATTAGAAAGAAATGTGCATTCTGCAAACTTTGGTTTCATTATTCTATAAATGTCAATTAGGTGAAGTTCATAAAAGATATTGGTTAAATCATCTATATCCTTACTAATCTTTTGTTTGTTTTCTTTATTTTTTAAAGTTTTATTTATTTATAGACAGAGGTGAAAGGAGGGAGAAAGAGAGGGAGAGAAACAACAATATATGGTTGCCTCTGGCGTGACAGCTACTGGGGATCTGGCCTGCAACCCAGGCATATGCCCTGACTGGAAATTGAACTGGTGACCCTTTGGTTCACAGGCCAGTCCTCAATCCACTGAGCCACATTAGCCAGGGTAGCTTTCTGTATCCATTGTTGAGAGAGATGTTAATATCTAAAACTATGATGGTCGATTTGTCTGTATATCCTTTATTTCTGTTTAATATTGCTTTATATATGTTGAGGTTATCTTATGGGCACACATGAATTGATGCCTGTTGAACTGACACTTTATCATTATGAAATTCTTATCTTTATCTATCATTATACTTCTTCCCTGCCTATTCTGTCTGATACTAGATAGACCCACCAGTTTTCTTTTGTTTAGGATTGACTGACATGTTTTATTTTTATATATCCTCTTACTTTGAATATTTATTTATCTTTATATAAAATTCACCTGACATAAACTGCACCTATTTGGATCTTTTTATTTATTTATTTTTTAATTTTTGAATATTTTAAAAATTATATTTCATTAATTATGTTATCACAGTTGTCCCAATTTATCCCCCTTTGCCCCCCTCTACCCAGCACCCACCACTCCCTCAGGCAATCCTCCCACCATTGTTCATGTCCATGGGTCATGTGCATAAGTTCTTCTTTGGCTATTCCATTTCCTATACTGTAATTTACATCCCCATGGCTATTCTGTGACTACCTATTTGTACTTCTTAATCCCCTCACCTAATCACTCCCCTCTCCCATTTGGCAACCATCAAAGCACTCTCTGTATCCATGATTTGTCTCTGTTCTTCTTGTTTGCTTAGTTTATTTTTTATATTCACTTGTTGATAGATACGTATTTATTATCATTTTATTATTCATTGTTTTGATCTTCTTCTTTTTCTTAAATAAGTCTCTTTAACATTTCCTATAATAATGGTTTGTGATGATGAAATCCTTTCATTTTTTCTTGTCTGGGAAGCTCTTTCTCTGCCTTTCGATTCTAAATGATAGCTTTGCTGGGTAGAGCAATCTTGGCTGTAGGTCCCTGCTTTATATGACTTTGAATATTTCTTGCCAATCCCTTCTAGCCTACAAAGTTCCTTTTGATAAGTCAGCTGACAGTCTTATGGAAATTCCCCTGTAGGTAACTAACTTCTTTTCTCTTGCTGTTTTTAAGATTCTCTCTTTATCTTTAATCTTGGCATTTTAATTTTGATGTGTCTTGGAGTAGGCCTCTTTGCATCTGTTTTGTTTGGGACTCTCTGTGCTTCCTGGACTTGCATGTGTATTTCCTTCACCAAATTGAGGAAATTTTCTTTCATTGTTTTTTTCCCATAGATTTCCAATTTCTTGCTCCTTCTCTTCTACTGGCCCCCCTATGATGCAAATGTTGGTTTGCTTGAAGTTGTCCCAGAGGCTGGTTATACTGTTCTTATTTTGGGATTCTTTTTTCTTCTTGTTCTGATTGGTTGTTTTTTGCTTCCTTATGTTCCAAATCATTGATTTGATTCTTGGCTTCATCCACTCTACTGTTGTTTCCTTGTAAATTGTTGTTTATTTCAGTTAGTGTATCCTTTGTTTCTGACTGGATTGTTTTTATGCTGTTGACGTCCTCACTAAGTTCCTTGAGCATCCTTATAAGCAATGCTTTAAACTCTGCATCTGATAGATTGCTTATCTCCATTATGTTTAGCTCTTCTTCTGGAGTTTTGATCTGTTGTTTCATTAGGGCCATGTTTCTTTGTCTTCTCATTTTGGCAGCTTCCCTGTGTTTGTTTCTATGTATTAGGTAGAGCTTTTATGACTCCATGTCTTCGTAGTATGGCCTATTATAGTAGGTGTCCTGCAGGAAACAGTGGCACAGCCTCCCCTATCACCCAGCTGGGTACTTGAGGTGTGCCCTCTGTGTGAGCTGAGTATACATTCCTCTTGTAGTTGAGCCTTGCTTGCTGTTGACAGATCAGTGTGAAGGATTTACCCAGTTCAGTCAGCTGCAAAGATTGTATGTTACCATTTACCACTATCCTTTGCCCTCCGTGGAGGATCAGCTATGCAGGGGCAGGGTGGTGGTGTTCCAACATGGTCTGTAGTTGTCCATTGGTTGTGCTTGGTCAGCCCCCACCTGTGTTTTGTCCAGGGCCACCTTGTCTGGCTATAAAGCAATCTGAGATAGCTGCTATTTTTGTTGGGCTTGGAGATTCCCTGGTAATGCCAGGCTGTGAACCTAAGCTGGCTGCTGCTAGTGCCTGGGGCTCACTGAGGCCAGTAGCTGACTGACTGAGAGCATTTAGAAAGTTGTGCAGCATGAACCAAGACCAGCCATTCATATGGAAAAGCAGTTTTAGTGGGCCCATAAGTTGGGTGGGGCAGTCTGTGGGGATCTCCAAGGCAAGTCAGTGTTAGCCAGATTGATGGAATCTCAGATATGGCAGCAGCTTGCCAGCTCTGTGGCTTAATGGCTCTGTAGTGGGATGGTTTAGAAAAGGGACAACAGCCTCTGCTCATCTGGATGACAGACACATGAGTTTCTCCCAGTATGCTGGTTCCTTTCAAGCCGCTACCCCAGTGCTGGAGCTCAGAGGGAGTGAGTCTGCATAGGTGAGTCTGTTTGTGGCCTCTTTAAGAGGAACTTCTTAGGGTTCCAGAAGTTTCTTCCACTAACTCAATCCCCACTGGGTTTTGCAGCCAGAAGTTATGGGGACTTATCTTCCTTGCACTGGAATCTGGGCTGGCGGTCCTGATGTGGTGGTGCCGGGACTCCTCGCTCCTGAGATATCCCTCCCAAATTTTATCCACCACATGTGGGTGTGGGACCAGCCTGTTACACATATCAGCATCTCCTACCAATGTGGGTGGATGTGGTTTCTTTAATTCCATAGTTGTCAGACTTCCATTCAGCCTGATTTCTGATGGTTTTGAGTGGTGCCCTGTATTTTAGTTATAATTTTGATGTGGTTGTGTGAAGAGGCGAGCCATATCTGTGTATGCAACCATTTTCACTGAAGTGGATCATTTTTAAAAATCCAGTCTTTATAGTAGTGTTTAGCTCATTGACATTTGATGAGTTACTGATATAGCTAGTTTGAAGCCTCTCATCTTGCTACTTGTTTTCTAGTATCTCATTTGTTCCTTTTATTCCTCCTTTTTTTGTATTACTAAGGTATTTTCTTTATTTAATCTACTTTGTTTTCCTTTTAGCTATTCCTTTTTGTATCCTTTATTAGTAATTCTCCTTGAGATGACAACATATATTCTTCTATTACTACAATGAGACAGATGAACCTATTAGTACCTTTACAACTTCACAAACATGAAAATCTTACAACAGTTTCATTCATCCTCCTACATCACTTGTGCTATTATTTTACATATTTCTCTTCTGCATATGCTATAAAGCTTATAAGACATTGACATTATTATAATTATACACAAGCAAATTTTTATATTTACCCAAATATTAATATTTGTTCCTTCTTGTATTATTTATTTGTTTATGTATTTACTTGCTTTCATCTGGGATAATTTTTTTTTAAGTCTGAAAAATTTCCTTTGCTATTTCTTGTAGTGCAATTATATTGGCAATTAATTCTTTCAGCTGTTGTTTACCTGGAAATATCTTTACTTGTCAGACTATTTTCAATAACTTTAATAAGTTTATACTGGTACTTTTTACCCTGAGATTTAAAAATGTCCTGGTTTGCATAGTTTCTGTTGAAAAAGAGGCCTTTAGTAGTTGTTGCTTCACTGGTGTCTTTTTCTTCTGGTTGCTTTCAAAACTTTCTTCCTCATCAATTTTGATGTGTTTAGGTATGGTTTTCTCTCATTTATTCTACCTTGGCTTCTACTGGGCTTTTTGAGTCTGAGGGTGGATGAATTTAATCAGTTTTGAGGAAATTATTTGCCATTATGTCTGCCTGTTTCTTCTTCCTCTTTCTTCTCTCTTCTTCTGGATCTCTAACTATATGGATTAAGTATCAATATGTTCTACATATTTCTTATGCTCTGTTCTGTTTTTTAAATTTTTTCCCTCTGTGGTTTAGTTTTAGTCTCAGCCTGAAATAAAGCTAAAAAATTCTGCCTTCCTTTATGCCCAAGTTGCTGTTAAAATCATCAAGTTCTTAAATTTATATTTATTTTTTAGTTAACAAATATTCATTTGATTCTATTTAAACAGATGACTGTTCTTTGTGGAAAATGTTCATCTTTTCATCTATTTGCATCAACTTATTTTAATAGTTATTCCAAGCTCTTTATCTGCTAAATCAAGCATCCAGATCATCTCTGAGTCTGCTTCTACTATCTATTCTTATATTGAATATTATCTCTATTTTTGTCTTTGCATATTTCTTAATTTTTTAATTGGTGCCAATCTTCATGTAACTAAAATAACCAAAGTGATGAAGTTTGTATTATTTTTTTAAAAAGTGTTTGTCTTTCCTCTGTTAGGCAAGTAGTGTGAGGGGTAGATAATCCCAATCCATTTAGGAACAGCTAGGTGGTAGTCAGAATGCAGTTTGTTAGAATCAATCTGCCTTTATCTCTGATAGCTGGAGGGAGACTTCAGTCCTGTGTTTATTGCAGGTCTTTTCCTCTAGTGGATCTAATTCTCCTGAGTACCATGAGACCATAGGAGAGAATTGTTAAGCCTTTTAGCAGCCTCCTATGCTGCTCAAGTCCTTAGCAATATTCCCGCAAGCCTATGTAGCTCTCAAAATCTCTACTTTTTTTTTCTTTTTGAGATCTCTGTGTTGTTGAAACCAAGCAAAATTCCTCCAGTGAGTAAAACGACTGCTCCCTCAACTCATCTAGAAAGGCTTTATCCTAACTGCATTTCAGTTCAACTGTCTCTCTTTACTTTCCCTGAACTTTGATGTCTTTAATTTTTGCTAATTTAAATTTTTGTGACTTATCCATTTTGTTTTTCTAGAAGCTGCAGTGGGATAATTTATTTAAACATAAACATTTGAAAAGAAGTCAACTCATAGTTTGGTGATGCCTATAATTGATACCTGATTCCTCTGCTTTATAAAAATTTTAGTATTAAAACAAAGTGTATCTGTTCTCTTTCTGCAGTGTAGCACTATATTAGCATTATATATTAGGTTAACATATATTGATTATATTAAGTTAAACCATTCAGAAATCTGAGTTTCTAAAATCAGAACATTGGTTGTCCACTTTTACCTAGGAAAAGATGTACAGCTCAACTGCTCTGCTTTGCTGAATGAAAAGGATCTGATTTATTGGAACATCCAGAAAGAAAATGGAGAGAATCCTAATGTACATGAAGAGAAAGAAATAAGAATTAAGTATGTCTATATAATAAATGATGTATATCATAGTATATATAAATATCAGTGTATCATATATACTTGATATAAAAATATCCAGACTCCTGAAGAGCTATGGGATGTTTGGGATGTGTAAATTATAATTATAATTTATGTTTTATAATTATAATTCCCATACTTTATATTGATGGATTATGCAGAAATTCATTGCTGAGATCTAAAGAAAGAAATTCAATGAGGTTCTTTAGCATCACCTTGCAAAAGCAGCTTTTGGTCAGCCAGGGTTGATGAAGAGATGGGGATTGTACCTAAGCATCTTAAAAGGAGTGATAACGTAGACTACAGTTGTTTTGGATTTTGAAAATTCTGTTAAGTGCTATATTTTTACTAATGAGCCATAATAAAGATCAGGACTGTGACATGTATAAGTTAATCTGGGTCCTTTGTATACAGTAGGCATTCCTACCTGTATTGCCCATGCATCACTGTGAGACCAGCTGGGAGTCTGTAAGTGCAGAATGACTCAGTGCATTTCCCTGCAGGGACTTGGGTGCAACCAAAGCCAAAGGCAGGCTGTCTCCTGCTGCCTGTCCAGATCTACATCTTCTACTGACACACATGCCTTTCATCATTCACTATAAGAAACTTGAGAAATAAGGAAATAGTCATTGACACAGTAATGTATATATTTTGGGAATTTCTTTCATGGGCAAAGGATACACTGACATAGATACTAGCTCCTGCTCTTTAGAAATAGTTTGTAGTTTCTTTTTAGAACATTTTTTACAGTGACTATCATTTTTAAAGTAATTAAAAGATCATTGATAAATTTTATCAAGTATGAAAGGGTTTCCAGATATTGTCTCAAGCAAATACTAATTTAAATTACCAGACACCTGAATTAACATTGAACATAGTAAGTATTGCAACATCTTCTTGTCAGAATCCATTCATGGAAATTAGAAACACAATAAGAATGGGTAGAAAAAGCAAACAGGGCAATGATTAGGTATAAATATCTAGGAGGCAATGTTGGTGCAAAGTGTTCCAAATGACATATATTGATATTTAAATAACCTATATTCTTCCATTAAGAAATGGTGAGACTTATTTAAAAAACATGCTAAGTCTATGGTCATTTGAATGTTTCTGAATGACTTTGGGTCATTACTATAATTATTAATGTACTGATACACTCAAGTTCTAGTAAGCAGTGATCCTAAGATTTCTATCACCTTAGCTGCACTTTTGAGGGGTTTTTTGCTTTTTATACTTTAAAAAAATATTCTTCATCATCCTGCTGTCTGCTCTCAGTTCTTGTTGATACTTGTTTACAGGCTGCTCACCCAGGGGCAGGTACATGATGATCAGTGCTCAGTGAGCACTGGTTCAGCTGAATTGTGTGGCCATCCTGCCATTGTATCTTCTCAGAATCTGTCTTCCACCGGAGTTATGCATTTTTTAATTTCTGCCTTCTAGTGCTCTATTGTTAATTTTTGGAGAGGTAGAAAACTAACCTACCAAACTTATTAAAAAATAAAGCCTAACCTAAGCTAAGAGAGTGAGGTGGTCTTTTTTACAATTGGGTATACAAGGTTTTTGTCATTTGTTTTGGCTTCTCAGTGGCCTTGTGTGCTTCACATCTGGATTTCTCAGTGATGTAAGATAGTTGATATTCTGTATTGGTGATTTCTGTACAGAACAGTGTTCTAAAATGTATTTGAGATAGTTGGAGGCTACAATGGGTACTGTGTCCCAGGTACCAGAGATGCCTGCTTCTAGGGATATCAGGGGCAACTCCATCTGGGAGTAGTGGATGACCCAGAGCTGTGAGAACCTGTTGCTGCAGAGGAAGCAGGTATCATGAGCATTAGTCTTTCATTCAATAACAGGAAAATTTGGATTCTTTAAGAAGAGAAAGAAAACTCTTCTTCCAGGGGTTATCTCAATCATTTTCTCACACTCACTGAGCAACTTAATTAGTGTTCCTCATCTTTCTGGGGGAGTATCTGAGGATAATGTTTTTTTTCTTAATTCCTTAGAAACAGACTTTTTTTTAAAGATTTTATTTTATTTTTATTTTTAGAGAGGAAAGGGAGGGAGAAAGAGAGAGAGAGAAACATCAATGTGGGGTTGCTAGGGGCTGTGGCCTGCAACCCAGGCATGTGCCTGACTGGGAATCGAACCTGTGACACTTTGGTTCGCAGCCCGCACTCAATCCACTGAGCTACACCAGCCAGGGCAGGATAATGTTGTTTTAAAACTTATTTTAAATGCTGAACAAATAAAAGTGATCTTTAGTAGTGCAAAAACTTGATATGAATCTGTATCTATGCTGAATAATTTACAGTCTTATATTTTTAATTTACCATAATTTCCTTTCAGGCACTTTAATTCTAGGTAGTTCATAATACCTTCCCCAGATGGTTCAGGAGAGCTGTTTCCATTGGGCCCAATGCTTCATGGAAGAGTGGCAGGTTCCCTGTGGTGATACTTTAAAAGTTCCCACCAGAAGGGGAGAATCTGATGAGTCACAAAGCTGCTGCCTTTGAGTACTTGCACATATGAAATCTTCTCTCATGGATAATGTTGCTGGCAGTGAACAAAGCCTAGTGCTAAATTATGTTCCTCTCTTACAGGACTTCAGAAGGCAAATGGCATGCTTCAAAAACATTGAGAATTGAAAATATTAATGAAATAAATCTAAATTTTTTATATAATTGCACTGTGGCCAGCGAGGGGGACATAGACACTAAAAGCTTCATCTTGCTAAAAAAAGGTATCAGAAAGTTTTATTTTTGGAAGTCTGTTGAAATTTTGAATGTCGCTTCTGAGAGACTCCTCAAAGATCATCATGTCCTAATTTTATACATCTGAAACCAGGCTTCTGAGAGGTGAACACCTTGTGTGATAGGTGTTCAGGGCAGAACTGGTGCTCAGCCCATGCTGGAACCCCTTGTGCCCAGATTACAAGCAGAAAATTTATAATTTTGCCCTCAGTATTATGCCAGTTCCTATGCAGTAACCAGGGCCAGAGAAGGGAGGCAGGTAGAGTTTGGGGACAGATGCACAGGTGTATGAAGGTCATGGGAGGCACTAAGGGCAACACTGGCACAGCCAGACAATCAGAGGAAAGCATGTAGTTCAGTGGAGGGTAAGGCCAAAGATACTGGGAGTAATTGCTGCCTTCAGCCTACCTTAGCTGGGCACTGGGCACAGGGGGCCTTTGGGTGTGAGCATTCACTCAGTAACAACTAACTGGGGCCTCCCTTCGTTGGGCCAGTTCCTGAATGTGGCAAGTGGACAACTGGTGACTCTGATCAGAGGACTCTTAAAATTTTTCAGTGTGTACCTGGTGGAGCTTTCCAGAGTCACCTACCTCCATCCTCGGCCAAATAATATAACCCAGATCCTTTAGTGCAGTAGCTGCTTAGAAATGGCTGTGTTTGGACTAAAAAACTATGCTTTCCAGTTATTAGTACTCATTCACTACTCATTCCCAGGCTGGAGCATCCACCCCTGAATATGCAGGGAAGGGCTAGGCTCTGAGAGAGATAGAGAGGTATACAGAGACAGAGAAACAAAGATGAGAGAGAGAGAGAGAGAGAGAGAGAGAGAGAGAGAGAGAGAGAGAGAGAGAGAGAGAGAGAGAGAGAGAAACATGAGTGTATGTGTTCAGTCTTGGTCTTGGTGAGAAACTGAAGAAGTGAGGGAGAGAGAACCTAAGGCCAGAAGCTCCCTCTCTAGGTGTGAAATCCTTGTTACCATTTGCTCACCTAGAATACCTCTTCTAATAGTGTAGCACATGCACTGATAGTAATAGCTAGCATTCTTTTTGTGTTTATTATATAACAGACTGTGTGCTAAGTTGTTACCATCATTTACCTGATCTTTACAAGCTTTTACAGGTAAAGAAAGTGAAGAAACTCACCCTATGCCATACAACAAGTAAAGACATCAAAACTCAGACGTGATTAGCTCTGAAATTAACTGATTTGCTTGCTTCTCTTACCTTCTGTAGGAATTATCACAGATGTTCCACCTCATGTGGACATATATGCTTGGTCCATGCACATGTAAGGGAGAGACTGTCAAATTCATTATTTTCACTTGATCCATTGCCTTGCCTGGATCTTCGATGGCCGCTATTCACCAAGCCATCTTCCCTCTGTTAGTGCTTGACTGTTCTGTCCCTCCCTTAGAGGTTTCTACTCTGATCATGTCTCCTTTTGCTGTGCTCACCACTTTCATCTGGGTTATAGGGTCTTCCACTCATTCTACCTGCAAGAGTGTATGTGCCAGTGTGAAAGTATGTGTTTGTGTATTTGTGTGGCACAGACAGGGATAGGCAGACCTCTCAAAGATGCAGGAACCCCAGGGTCTGGCATTATTCAGAGCTTACTTATTAAGAAAATATGGTGGCTTAATTATATCCTAGTAGTTAATTTTATGGGAAAGATCATTCCTAAAATTTGTGTAAAGATTTCAAGAGTGTTATGCGTGTTCATACTCTTTGCCCTAGAACTCCCTCTACCTTTAGAATCTACTCTAGGAGAATAATCAGAAACTTTCATAAAGGTTTATGCATAAGTTCATTCCAGCATTATATATATTAATAAAAATTGCAATCATTCTAAATATTGAGATATTATGAATTATAATTTTAAAGACCTAATGAACTGCTCAGAATATAATGTTATACAATAAAGAGTGATACTCATATGCCTTCAATTAAGTCAATATTTTTAGGGAAAATAACCCAAAAGGAAATATACTATCATGTTAGCGGTGCCTATTACCACATTGTGGATGGTTGTTAAAAATTATTTTATCCTTTTTACTCTTTCATGTTATTTCATACTTTCCATAGTGAGCATAAACTGAATAATTCTAAGAAAATTTTTTGCAAAGGACACTTTCATAAAAAACGTTATAAAATTATTAGAGCTGTATGCCAGATGCTTTGTTAACTACATATATGCATTGGTCCATGCACATGTAAGGGAGAGACTGTCAAATCCATTATTTTCACTTGATCCATTGCCTTGCCTGGATCTTTGATGACTGCTATTCACCAAGCCATCTTCTCTCTATCTCATCTAATCATCCCTCCAAAATCAACCTTATAAATGAAGCAGAAATTATTATTATGTTCATGTTACAGGGTAAGATACTAACAGCTAAGGGCATCAGTGACATTTCCTAGTGTGGAGGGCACTGGCCAGCAGTATCCATCCCTGCTACAGATGCTTGTTGAAACACAAGAAAAACATACACAGGGACAACCGAGTCCTGTGGGGAAATAGGGATGAAACAGCCACTCTCTCTAGTGGAGAGCACCCCGTTCTCCTGCCCAAGCAGGTTTTTATTAATAATACAGACACATTGTGGATTACAGTCTGGCAGGGAAGATAAAAAAGGAATAGGTGTTTTCAAAGGTTCTGACAGAACTCTCACTGGGATTCTGGGCTGAGAGTTTGCGTTTTATCACTTAAAAAGACTATAGGACCTAAAAGCTAGTCCCATTTCCTGCCCGTGCCTTCATATTCTAATTCAATAGCATCCTCCATCAAGCAGATCTCACAGGATCTTGTATATTCTATGTCCCAGGCCTGATTATCCTAGGGTTCCACTGACTCTGGTTTGGACTAGAGCCCCTGTTATTTCCGCAGGCCTGAGTTGGGCAGAGGAGACAAAGGCAGCCAGGAGACTTGGATATCTCACAACTAAGAACAAGGACTCAGGCTTTGACAAAGCCGAGGAGGCAGGGGTTGATGTCAATCATCCCTTCATTTCCACAGCCCCAAGTCTCTTCCCAGAGGTCTCCACGTGATCATGCCTGTCTTAGATTATCCCCCCCCCCCATGAGAAATCTTACCCATCATTGGCTAACTGATCAAGCATAGGAGGCCAGGCATAGAACAGGCAGTGTTCATGCCAGGGAAATAAGTTTTGTCTCCTTAGTGGCTCCTGGTTCAGAGGTCTCTTACTCAGCCTTAGTCACAGGGGGTTACAGCTTCCTGAGACCAGGCAGGGTGGGCCCCAACATCCTAGGACACAAAATAACTGATAGATCTAGGCTAAGAGCCTGGATGATCTCAGTTAAGTGATTGCTTTCTCAAGATGATTCACCTTAATTTATGTTTAAAACCTGTTCTCTGAAATCCATCTTTGGGTCCCTCCCTTTGTATTTCACTCTAGTGCTATATAACCCTAGAGATCTGACTTCCACAGACAGGGATAGACAACATTACAATGCTTTCAGTTCAGGTCTCTGAATAGCCTTGTGCAAATCTTTATTCTTTAAAAAATGCAAGTAGAGCAGGCTTACAGTTGCTGGAGGGGAAGTAAAGGGATAGAACTAAAAAAAGAAAAAAACTCATGGACACAGACAACAGTGTGGGGATTTCCAGACAACAGTAGGGGTTGGGGGAGGAAGAAGATGTTAAAGGGGGGATAAATGGTAATGGATGTAGACCTGACTTGGGGTGATGAACACACAATACAGTGTACAGATAATGTAGTATAGATTTGTGCACCCAAAATCTATGTAATTTTATTAACCAAAGTCACCCCAGTAAGTTTAATAAAAAGAAAAAAATTAAATATAAAATGGGAGTAGAAAGATCATTGCCCCAAAATAAAGATGGGAATGTAGAATAACTCAATGGAACATGTTGGGTAGACAACTGGATTAGTATTAATGGTAAAAACTGATATCTGCAGCATAATGGTGAAAGACAATGGTAAAACTTCTTTGATTAATCATTCCTATTTTATTTTTCTTTCTAGCAGAACTGGATGATATCCCAGACCATGTCTTCACTAGAGGAATAATCATAGCTATTCTGATCTCAGGGGCAGTCGTGTGCCTAATGATTGTGGTTGTCACTTATAGAGTTGACTTGGCTCTATTTTGTAGACATTTCATGAGAAGAGATGAAACATTAACAGGTAACAAATATCATAATGTTGGGATTTCTTATCCTATGGTTTCATTAGGAAACCTAATAAAAAAACAAACTTCATCTTATTTTGATTATATTGTTGACTTAATATGTGTTACAGGTTTTCCATAGGAAAAATTGCTCTGAATGTATAATCCATTATGGATGTTGTCTGTGCCATCTTTTTTTGGTGCTTACTTATATACTGCCAAAAATTGTTCTCTAAATGTTTCATGTATTATGTCATATCCTACTAAATGCTCTATGAGATGCTTGATCCCAGGAACTCAATGTCATTGTTCATGTACCATCTGGGCACCTTATACAGTGGGTTCACTCCATAAAGATCATTTAAATTGAATTGAATTGAATTGTATATATGGTTCATTATTTTAATCTGGCAAAGGAGGCTGCATGATGTACTTTAAGGAACCCTGAACTAGAAGCTAAATGACCTGGGTTCTAGTCTACCAGATCTGCCTGTTTTTACCTACTACTATTGGATCTAGTGAATCTATATCTCAGGTCCCCTATCTTTTAAAGTTTCAATAGAATTACTGAATTTAAAAAATCAATCTAATCCATTGTACTTGCTTTTGCTTTTGTGTGTATGTGCACACACATCTGTGTATGTGTGTGTGTGTAGGACACACATATTTCAAAGCACAAGCACAAAAAAATCTAAGAAATTATACAGTAGAAAGTTTCCTACCAGCCTATCCATATCTGTGTACCCATGATGTACCCATCATCCCCTGGCAGTACATCCAAACAAATATGAATCTTATCCCACTTTTGTTTAAAAAACAAGTCTTGTTGTATAATGCACACTATTCTGAACTTTGCTTTACTATACCTTGGATACTCTGCCATAATGAGAGTTTATAAAATCTCTCATTTTCTTTATGATTTTATTTCTTTGGATAAAACCCTACAGAGTTTTATTTCTATGGATATACCACTGTTTATTTAGTCACCTTTTGATGGACATTTGGGTTATATTACAACATTTTGTTATTATAGAAATGATGTGACAAATAGCTTTGTACAGTGATTGTTTCATATGTATGCAATATAATTGAAGGAAAAATTCCCCAAAGTGGAATTGCTGGACATACCAAGCATAGATATAGTTTTTATTTTGAAAGATAGTGCCCATTTGCCCTTCATAGGACTGAATTGCCTACAACTCTCAAATGATGGGAGTAACTTTTCCCAGAGCCTTACCTACAACCTTTTGGATATGTGACAATCTGGCTGGTTAAAAAAGTTGTATTTCAATGTAATTTTCATTTGCATTTCATTTACTATGTAAGAGCATGAGCAACTTTTTATTTGGTTAAGACTCATTTTTATTTCCTTTCTCAAACTAGCATCCATTTCTTTACCCATTTTTTAAATTGGGCTGTTGGCTTTTTTTCTTGTGTATTTTGAGGATTAATTTACATTTTAAGGAAGTTAGCCTACTGTCTATAATATGAGGTGTAAATATTGTTTCCCGGTTGTAATTTATCATTTGACTTTGCTTATGTCACACATTCTCTAATGTATTCAAATTTATTCTTTCTTTTATGGTTTCTGGATTTGTGGTCATAAGCAGAAAGGCCCTCCTAACCTCAAGTTATAAATAAATTCTTACATTTTTTGAGATTTTTCCAGGTTCATTTTCACATTTACAACTTTCAATTTACTAATATAAAGTTAGCAAAGTTAGTTAATTTGGATTTGAGTCTGCATATGTGTATGATTTTGCCAAGGAAAGAAGCTCCAACAAAGTGGTGGGTTTGTTTTTGTTATTTTATTACTGGGTCTCTACTTGCATAGATCAGTGCATATCTCAAAATGGGTGTTCACTAATGTCTCTTTATGATTTTCAACTAAGATTTTGTTTATCCTTGTAGTTGTGTTTGGCCCAATTCACAGAAATTTTTTTAATTCACATGTCTTAGCTCTCAATGTGGCTGTGCATAGAAATATTTAGAGATGTGCTCCACAGCAGCTGTACTTAGATTGTGGCCCATGGACAGAAATCATTTGTGAAAAAGTAAAGATGGAGATACAAGTACAAAAAATTAAAACTTGTACATTATAGCAATTTTATATTGCTGCACTATCCAACAGTGCATTCAGTTATTGGTTTATGAAGGATTGGAAATGAAAGAAATCAATCAACCAAAAAAGCTAAAACCAACTTAAAATGTCATTATTTGCCACAGAATTTGAGAAGCACTAGTCTGAATGACTCTCTGTAGTCCCAAAAACCCATTTACATGTTGGTTTTATTTATACATAACCAAGGAAAAATTATTAGCTTTCAAATTACTTTTTGTTTGGACACTGTGTCCATTATTGAAGCCAGCAAAGATTCCATTAGTTGGGTTGAAAAATAAATTATAATATGAATTAGCCTATTTGCTAAACCAACAAAAGAACAGCTTGAAAAAATGAATTTGAAAGCTAATTAATAGTTGAAAAACTAATTTTACATGGGTAAGAGTAAAGCTGTATCACATGTATATCACAATATAAATTGGACTAAATTATCTTTCCAATTTATTACAATTAGTTAAATATGATTATGAAAAATATGCCTTTCTAGAAGTGTACTTATTTATTTTTTACATCTTGATGCCTGTTTTAATCACTGAAATAATTATTGTATTAATGAAAGCACTCACTCTTATATTAATAAACACCTGTATTTCACAGCAATCTAATAGAATTTTCCAGGGGACCTAGTTACTGATTATGTTAAGAACTGGCTCTATTTTTACCAACTTTAAACCTATCTTTGATATGCATGTTAATTCTGCACTTTTACCCAAGCATCCTGTCATTCACATGCATACAATTATGTAAAGCAATTGTTTTAAATCAGCAGTAGGTTCTGACTCAGATTGCTTAATGAGAGTGTTATAAGTAGAACTGAAGAAGTTTTTGCCAGAAATAGTGTTATGTGAGCCTGGATGCTGTTAAAGAAATTGAGTCAGATTTTGAGTGTAAATGACGTGGCACCACAAAGAATATGGATCTAGAATGGTTTTGTTATATTCAATTTTAATAAAAGATCCAATAATATTTAGTCTTATATCAAACTCGCTAATCACAATAATGGATCCAAGAATACATCTAACTCCTCTATAATCTAACCAACTGCCATGGGATATAGATAAAACATTCCCTCTACCATTTTCCATTCTTCCTCTACTGTTCCAATTAGCATATATCACATTATTTAGGACCTGACTCAAAATTTCCTTCTTTTGGAAAGCATATGCAAGATCACTCCTTATTCTCTGACCAGATTATTTGATTTGTTTGGTTTGTGTTACACTCTCTTGTGTCTGCCAATGTGTTATTTGTAAACTTTTCAAATTGTTGCATTGTGTGTTACCTCTTCTCAGATATATTGGATGAAAGTAGAAAAAAATGCATATAATTTTTTAGTAACCCAGTTAGTAGAATCCCTTTGTTATTTAGATAACACATTACTCTTGAATTTGTGCCTTTAGCCATTTGGATACTGAATACTGCTTCATTATTAGGAATAAAATAGGGGAAGATGCTATCATCAATGAAAACCTTTCAATAGACTAGAATTCATTGTATTTTTATTTATTATATAAATATAAATAATATTTTAAAACATCATAGCATGTGTTTTTATAGCACATTGTTTCAATTGCCTCTATTGTTATTTCCCACTCTTCAGTGTAAGCACTCAACTTTGTTGGTGCTGTTTTTTCTTAATTTAAGTTTCATTTTCATTTACAGTTTACATTCAGTATTATTTTCTATCAGTTTCAAGTGTACAGCATAGTAGTTAGACAATCATATACTTTACAAAGTATTCTCCCTAGTACTTCAAGTACTAACATGTCACTATAAATAGTTATTATAATGTTATTGACTATGTTTCCTATGCTGTACTTTACATCCCTGTGACTATTTTGTAACTACCAATTTTATCAACATTTTTGAGGCAGTCATTTTGAGGGTAAACACTGAGGGTGGTAGAATTAAATGATACAAGTCGAATAAGCCAAGGTGAAATTTGCTTTCCAATGCTGGAACAAGGACATATTTGGGTTACTTTATCCTCTATTGTCTTCTAATTCCTTTATTTCTCAAATCTATGACTTATATTTCTTTCTATTTCTCTTTAGTGTCAAAAAGTAGGAGTCTTGATGTATATGCTTACAAGTAAAACATTTGATAATTGATTGCTCAAATAGTATATAAGGTTTGAGGATGCTATGCTTGTCTTTAATAATTTAAGTTATTCCTTGTTTTTGACATTTAAAAATTCAGAGATAAAGAATAATGCATAAAGAATAGTCATGGAAGCAAATAATATTTGAGGAAACTTGGGAATTACCTAAACATTGTTTTGTTTTTTAATTTGCTTTCTATCAAAAGTATTTTCTTCATTTTTTTCAACAGCTTATTGAAGTATAATTAATATACAAAGAACTGCACATATTTAATGTGTACAGTTTGATGAGTGTGGACACACAGATGCTATACTTAACTTTTATTTTTCAATATTTCCATTCCCATTTTTCACAACTTTCACTCAAATTAAAACTTAAACTTTCATTTACATACCAATTAAAGGAATAATATGTCTTTCCTCCTAGATGGAAAGACATATGATGCTTTTGTGTCTTACCTAAAAGAATGTCATCCTGAGAATGGAGAGGAACACGCCTTCGCTGTGGAGATTCTGCCCAGGGTGTTGGAGAAACATTTTGGGTATAAATTATGCATATTTGAAAGGGATGTAGTGCCTGGGAGAGGTAAGAAAGGGAAAGCCAAATAGAAAACTAGTAGAGATACTTTATTTTCATAAGATGAATAGCTTAGCCTAACCCTGTTTGGCTTAAAAACAATTATAAATGACCTTCTGGCCAGAAATAACCAGCTAAATCAGTATAGTGATTAGTGAGAAAACAAACTAACTGCACTGCTCCCATTAGTGGCCCCTTTAGGACCCTGTCTCTTCATTGCACTTCCCAGTTCTTTAAAATTTTGGAAAGGGACCAAGCATTTCATTTTTAGAACCAGCTCCAGAACTGGCATTATTGTGAAGCATTTATTTAGAAATGCTCTATAGTTAAGAACACCTGTTTTGATGATATTTTGTGCAGCAGAACCAGACCCTCATTTAATACATGATCCTTTAAACACAAAAAAACACCTGCTCTTTATTATGCTGACATTGGTGGGAAAACTAAAGTAAGAAATAGGAAAATTGGAAAAAAAGTAAAAGGAGATTGGTGTTTTATATAATTATGAAAGTCAATTTTAAATTAATATATAAATACAAATGACCATAACAAATTTCTTGCAGCAAAGTACAGTGAAAATCAGATATTTACTAACATGTTCATGTTTTCTCTGAAGTCTTTAATAGCAAACATTTGAAAGCTGGTGTCATGAGTGCTGATGCATTGCAAATTCTGTAATGTCTTCATTGGTACCATACTTTATTAACTTATCCAACATTTACTGAGTTCATCCTTGTGCCAAATTCTTAACAAGGCATTGAAGATGTGGCAGTAAATTAAGAAATGATTGTGCTTTTTCCCTCTAATCATACAAATTAGAAAGGAAAATATTACAAATTATAAAGAGAAAATATACTACTGTTTAATTATAAATAACTTCTCAAAAGAAATAATATGCCAATTTGTCAGATGCTTATAATACTGTGATATTTTTGTCAACTCTTTCTAAGAATTTAGGAATCATTATTGCTTGCCTTTACATCAGTTTTAATATTTTACCATTATTTTCTAGCAGTCATTTTGAAAAAGATTTTTCTTCTTAGTTCCTAAATAAAGAATGTTTGTTCTCAGTTGTAATATGTTTTGGTTGAAAATCTCTATATGAAAAGGGATAGAGGTCTAGAACAGAGGTTGACAATCTACTACCCATGGGTCACCAGGGACCTGCCCCCCTCACTGACACTCAGACACAAGCATTTGCTTACATGTTGTCTGTGGCTGCTTTTAAAATTACAACAGCACAGTTGAGTTGTGGCAAAAGCTATATGACCTGCAAAACCTAAAATATTTACTTTCAGGCCCTTTACAGAAAAAGTTTGTCAACTTCTGGTCTAAAATAATGGCATTTCTTAAAAATTTTTAAATTCCTATTTTAGCATGCTCCATCATACACATGGAAAGGCAAGACAGTGTAATAGTTAGAAATAAGTACTACAAAACAAGACCATGTGGGTTCAGGTTCTGGTTCTGCCATTTACTAGCTGTGTGACTCTGGGATAGTTACTTAACTACTCTGTGCTTTGACTTCTTCCTCTGTAAAAAATGGGGGTATACTTTCTTTATAGAGTAATTATGATGATTACATGAGTTAATATACATAAAACATTTAGTAAGGAGTGTGGCACAGAGTAAGTACTAAGTAAGTTTTCATTATTATTGTTACCTAGATAATTGATTTTAATAGTCATATCAAATTGAGAATAAATGGTTTGTCTTAAAGAAAAACTTGTGAACTTCAGAGTTAAATAATAAAAATTAGACTGTGCAAAATAATTTCTATTTCATGCTTACCCTTTTAGTTCTCTTAAATTAATATTTCACATCTTGCATTTTCAGCTGTTGTTGATGAAATCCACTCCTTGATAGAGCAAAGCCGAAGACTAATCATTGTCCTAAGTAAAAGTTACATGTCTAATGAAGTCAGATATGAACTTGAAAGTGGACTCCATGAGGCACTGGTGGAAAGGAAAATTAAAATAATCCTAATTGAATTTACACCCATCAGTGACCTCACATTCTTGCCCCAATCATTAAAACTTTTGAAATCTCACAGAGTTCTGAAGTGGAAGGCTGATAAATCTCTGTCTTATAACTCAAGGTTCTGGAAAAATCTTGTTTATCTGATGCCTGCTAAAACAGCCAAGCCATGGAGAGATGAATCTGAAGTCTTGCCCATGCTTTCACAGTCCTGATCTGCAGAAAAGCTGAATGTAATAAAGAACTCCTGATTCTCTGGAGACTGAGTGGATGAGCCTGTTTATAACCAAGGGCATTATTCAAAATATTTAACCCTATGAAAATCCTACTCATAGTCTGAAGATGGAATGTCTTTAGATTGCCAGGGATAATACTGAACATTGAGCTGTGGTTGTGTGTTCCCTGAAGACCCTGGAATTTAAAAAAGCAATAGTCTTCCTGTTTTTCCCTCTTCCCTAACTGGATGTTGAGGCTGGGAACTATGCAAAATAACTTATGCCTTAAAAAAGGGCACATCTTTAAGATACTAACAATTAAACTATAGGATTTTAAATTTATGAAGTGGAATTTTCTGTGAGCCAGCAGGTGAAATAGTAACTGGAATGGTGCTGTCACCATCACTCTATAGCTAGCTACCTAGCTCTAAACATTGTGGACAGTCCCTGGGATGTGGGGGATCACTGACAGGGCTGCGTGCACAGTAGAGGAGTTAGGTTTGAGCCTGCTATAATAGAGCCAGTGCCTCAGGATGTGTTTAGTGTATGTCTTCCATGACGACAGGCAGGTTCTTGAAACTCCACTGAGGCACTGCACAGGGCATGCTTACTTAAGTCTATTTGTGGGAACTTCTTAAAAGTGACCCAAAACAACTTTTTATTTTTCCTGAGAAATACAAATTTTAATTCAAATGATTCTCCAGGTCTTTCAAAAGTGGTCAAAAATATTTGTTGACTTTACGTAAATGTTTATAAACAATATGGTTGCCAGATCATATTAGCCACCAACCAACAAAAAATTATAGTTATTTGCTTGAGTTTTAAAAAGTCATACCTTTAAAATGCCTGTAGGGTGGATGCAACATAGCATGATGATTTTGTGTGTGAGCTGTACAGCCAAAATGCTTGAGTTCAAATCCTGGGTTTACTTTTTTCTTCTGTGACCTATGGAACATTTTCTAATGGATCTGTACCTCAGTTTCCTCATCTGTAAATTAGAGTTTATAATAATTATACCTACTTCAAAGGAGGATTAAATGAATAAAGCACCTATGACAGTTCTTGGCTGAGACTTAATATTCTTTAACTGTTATTACCATTTTTATTATTATCATTAATTATTACTTAGATCAAATTTTTAGCAGTGCAGTAAAATAAATGCCAGGAAACAGGAAAGCAAAGAGATATGGAGAAGAAGGCAGTTATGCCTGAGGACATTAATTGCATATGGAGAGAAGTGTATAGGAAAGGTATACCAATAGGTTCAAGGATATTTCTTCATTGGACAGGAGCAACTTTTGACATTGGAAGACATATATCTGTCTTGCTACTGTGAGCCTAGCCTTCTTGTTAGCCTCAGCAATGATGTCTATGCGGGACAATCACTGAGTGAGTGATAAGGATCAGCCTTAAAGAGAAAGGGAAGTGTTGGTTAAGTTTGGAAGGCTGGTTAGAACATATTCATGCAGTGTGAATGTTCCAAAAAAGCTTAGAGAGAGACTGTTCAAAACAGCTATAACATATTGCTGAAAATTAAGGAATAATATTTTCATGAGATTTCAGTGTCAGAAAGTGATTCAATTTTTGTAGAGCTTCCAATTCTGTGTTCTAGTTGTATGGCTAGAAAAAGTAAAATAATTAAATTACTAACATGTTTTATATGTGAAAATATATGATCAGGAGAAATTTTATTGCTATCATCATAGTCTCTACTACAGAGAATAATTATGCTTTTCTCTTGTACTATGCATGCTTTAAAATATAATATGTGTATTCTTATTAAATGTGTTAAATGTGTATGTTAAATATATGTTTTAAAATGTATTAATGAACTACTGGTCTAGTGACTTCAGTTTTGAAATGTCTAATGCCTGTTTCATTTTAAGATTCTAATCTCATTCTTAATGTAAATTCTCATCTGTTTTAATAAGATATAAGTCATCCTACCTCTATCTTTTTTTTTTTAGTATCAGATTACTTTGTGCCTACCTTCTTCATTTTATCTTGTTTTGAATCAAAAGAATTCCCTTTCTTACAAGACCACTTAATACTCAGCACAAGTACTAGCTTTTCATATGCCAGTTAACTTTTATTGATGGAATGAGATCATTCTCTTTTATGGCTTCAGATGTCTTTAAATTGTGGAATCCATTTGAGAGAATCAGTGAATATCAACTCTCTAAGATGTGTAAAGAAGTAACTCATGTATATCTATTATATACTGGAAGCATTTGTTAGATTAAAGTTTTATACTCTCTTAAAGCAGAGAGAGATCTTATTGCTCACATATTCCAAACCCAGGATCTTGAGACACAGTAAGTCCAGGGACTTGAATCAGATCACCTAACTTGCTAGTGTGACAAGGCTGGGGTAGAAAGATATACTGTGTTCTGTCTTTGTAATTTCCCGTTGAACTGTGAGACATCAGGCAAAGTTTTGGAGGCTGTGGGCCCTTTCCTGGGGAGACACCTTATTCTAGGATTGTCTAGGCCATCATCCTGCAGAGAGGATGCAGGACTGTCTAGGCTGGCTCAGAGGAGAAAAAAAATGAGTACAAAGAACTTCCAGGCTTTCTTCTAGGCTACAAGGGTAGAGATGGAGGAAGAAAATTGCACTCAAGACCTCCACAGTATGAAGGTGTACACTTGAAAAGATCAGTGTACAGGGCTGAATTGAAACATAGCTTTAAAAACTCAGAGAAAATAATTTGTCACTTTGGCCTGAAGCACAGCTCTGAGGGAGAAGGCCCAGCAGCTGAGAGAAGCCATCATTTTGAGTACAAAGAGTGACCAAGCCACAAATCTAACAGGAAACAGGATGTGTGTGTGCTATGGGCAGGACACAGGGACCTTCTAGCCCCACCTGGATGCCACACTGAGAGTGATCATAGTCCAAGCTGGGAGCTGTGAAAGCAGCATCTAGAATTCTGTGTGTGACCTGTGAGAACCAGCTTTTATCTCATGGCCTGATTTGTGGATGCACATGCATGCCTGGGGAGGCAATGCCCCATGTTACACCTGATACAGCTTGATGTTGTGAGAAATATTCTTCACATGAAAGGTTAAGACTGACAACAAAACAGAGCTATGAGGAAATAGAGATAAGTCAAAGGAAAAACATTTAAAAACAAACATTAGTATTCTCAGAGAAATAAAAAATGATGTTATATTACAGCATGATAAAGTGGAGTTGAAGATTAAAATGTTAAGTAACTGAAATGGAAAACAAGCTCCCAGTGTTGGAGGCTAGTGAGGTGTTACTAAGAATATAAAAGAAAAAGCTAAGCAAATTGCAAATAAATATGAAAAATTGGAATATTAGCCTAAATTAAAGTAATAGAATACTGATAAAATGAGAATAAGAAGACACCCTATAAATTTAGAATATAGAAATAAAAAGAACAATTTTAGAAACAATTAAGGAAACTCTCAAAATTGACGGATATGAATTTCCAGATTGAAAGCACTACCAATTACTGAGCAAAATGAGTAAAGAAATGTCCTTAAAATTGGAAATAAAAATAATGTGCTACTTAGAGTTGTATATTCAACCAAACAATTATTCAAATATGAGGACAAAATAGAGATTTTTTTTAGACACACAAAGTAGAACAAAAGTAGGTTTACAATTATTTTGTATGACAAACAATATAATAATTAGTAAATAAATAATACAAGAATAAACACTGTGTTTTGCATACAATGGTAAACTTACTTTTGTTCCCATCTTGTATAAGACCTCAAGATATTTACATCCTATGAACCCTTTTACTGGGGTCTAATGGAAAAAGCGTTCTTCCAGAAAAAAAGCATTCTCTAAGAAGGAAACAGTTTAGGGTTCAGAAACAGGGCATCCAACTTGGAAGAGGGGTAAAAATGTATCCCCAGGCTGATGGGAAATGGAAATTTAAGGATGGCAATTGTAAATAAGCCATATTTGAATGGATGATCAAGCTCCAGACAGAATATTTTCTGGAAAAAGAATTCTCATATGTTGAATGCATTGAGCAGCATTTTACATTTCTGGTGGAGTTTAGAGGTGAATTAATGAAAGGTATAAAGAAATTTCATCAAAAGAGAAAAAACAAGCATTAACTTCAAGTGGTATATGCAAAGAAACATAGTCAAATAGCACTATATGGTTCTGCCACAAACAATAGTTACGTGGTCACAATGGTGTAAGCATTAAATCTTTATTTAACTAAAATTGTGATAGAGCAGCAGTTTACTGTTTTTGGCCAAGATGGAGGCATAGGTACATATACTTTGCTTCCTTGCACAACCTAAAGGACAACAACAAATTTACAGACAAAAAAAAACAAAACAGAACTTCCAGAAAATCAAACTGCATGGCAGTCTGACAACCAAGGACTTAAAGAAGAAACATACACCCAGACTGATAGGAGGGGTGGAGATGGATGGGTGGCAATGAGGTGGCTAGCGGACTGGGTGGCTGAGGTGGTGACTGGCAGACCAAGTGGTCCCATATTTGCATGCAGATAAACTGGGAGGAATAACTGGGAGGGCAACACAGACCACACAACGCAGGGTTCAAGGGTGGGGAAACAAATCCTCAAAACCTCTGGCTGTAAAAACCAGTGGGGATATGACAGTGAGAGAAACTGCCAGTCTCACAGGAGAGTTTGTTGAAGACCATACACAAGCTCATCCACTGAGGAATCAGCACCAGGGCATCACCTCAAAGGGTTCAATTCACTTGTGACTGAAAATGGGGCAAGAGCTGAGCAAGTGGTTTTGTTCCCTCTCTGACCCCGCCCCCACAACATGGAGAAATGGGTTGCTCTTCCCTGACAAACACCTAAGGCTCTGCCTCTTACAATGTAACAGGTGCGCCAAGACAAAGAAATATGGCCCAAATAAAAGAACAGATCAAAACTCTAGAAAAAAAACTAAGCAAAGAGGAGATAGCCAACCTATCAGATGCAAAGTTCAAAACACTGGTAATCAGGATGCTCACAGAAATAACTGAGTATGGTTGCAAAATAGAGGAAGAAGTGAAGGCTATGCAAAGTGAAATAAAAGAAAATATACAGGGAGCCAACAATGAAGGAAGGAAACTGGGACTCATATCAACAGTCTGGAGCAGAAGGAAGAAATAAACATTCAACCAGAACAGAATGAAGAAACAAGAATTCAAAAAAAAAAAAAATGAGGAGAGGCTTAAGAACCTCTGGGACAACTTTAAAGTTTCCAACATCTGAATCATAGGGGTATCAGAAGAAGAGTTGAAGCAAGAAATTGAATACTTATTTGAAAAAAATAATGAAAGAAAACTTCCCCATCTGGCAAAAGAAATAGACTTCCAGGAAGTCAAGGAAGCTCAGAGAGTCCCAAAGAAGTTGGATCCAAGGTGAAACACACCAAGGCACATCATAATTACATTACCCAAGATTAAAGATAAGGAGAGAATTTTAAAAGCAGCAAGAGAAAAGAAGGCAGTTACCTACCAGGAGTTCCCCTAAGACTATCAGGTGATTTCTTAAAAGAAATCTTACAAGCAAGAAGGGGCTAGAAAGAAGTATTCAAAGTCATGTAAAGGAAGGACCTACAATGTAGATTACTGTACCCAACAAAGCTATCATTTAGAATGGAGGGACAGATAAAGTGCTTCCCAGATAAGGTCAAGTTAAAGGAGTTCATCATCATCATGCCCTTATTATATGAAATGTTAAAGGGACTTATCTAAGAAAAAGAAGATCTAAACTATGAATAGTAAAATGACAACAAATGTACAACTATCAACAACTGAACCTAAAAAAAATAAAAAAAATAAACTAAGCAAACAACTGAAACAGGAACAGAATCACAGAAGTGGAGATCACATGGAGTGTTATTGGCAGGGAGGGGACAGGGTTGGGGAGAATGGGAGAAAAGGTACAGAGAATAAGAAGCATAATTGGTAGGTACAAAATAGACAGGGGGAGTTTAAGAATAGTATAGGAAGTGGAGAAGCCAAGAACTTATATGTATCACCCATGCACATGGAGGGGAATGCTAGAGGGAGGTGGGTGTGGGGTGGAGGGGGATAAAGAGGAGAAATA